TTTATGGCCTTGGACATTGTTAGCTTTGGGACTCTCAAGTGACCATGTAAGGAATATCAAATCCCCACATACATACACTTTAAGTCAAGTACGCTCCCGCCACAAACACATTGTCTATGCATGAGGTCCTTACTTTCTACCTAAGTCTACTCCACCACCTAAGGTTCCCATATTGACATTTCCAGCTGAAGGGGGGTGAATAAGGACAATGGGCCTCTGCAACAATTGCATAGAGGAGACTATATATCACGGATTCTGGAATAAAGTCACGATCTTGCATCTATTGCCCTACATCTCATGATCCTTCATGTCAGCAGCCGCTACATTCAATTATGATGGGACAGTAATAAAAGACATTCAAATAGCTGCTAATCGGACAAACTCCACTACTCCTATTTCCCAAACCACACCCACCACTGACACTGGGTGGCTCATTAAAAACTCAGATATCCAGAGGCATCTTGCCCAATCTCGGGTGGCAATGAACTATCGGGATCTTCATTTATTAAATAACTGGACAGTACATATGTTCAACGAGACTATCAAGGTGCTGAAGCTGATGAACAAAGAACTGGCTGAAATCAGGGAGGTAGTCTTACAAAACCGATATGCCTTAGATATTATGCTAGTAGCTAAAGGAGGCATTTGTGCCATCATACACTTACATTGTTGTACCTATGTATATTGTATCTATAATCATACTGCTTGTTTTGCTTCGTTGCTGTATCCTATGTCTCCGCTCCCTTCTGCAAATGTGCAAAGGTTTTATTCCCTCCAATAGGAAGGACGTCCTGTTAAGTGAAGCCAAAGCCCTTCTGGAACTGGAGGAACAAATCAGGTGTGGTCAGAGAAGGTGCTCGGGACTTGCAAGATAGGGCTTCCAAGATAACTCAGAGGTTACAAACTCCTGACATGTGGTTTTCTTGGGTGCCTGAAACCGGATGGATTTACAATTTGTGTGAGCGATTTGTGGAAATGTATAACTGGAATACAACTCAGAAACATGATGGCCTACCTCGCTTGACATCTCCTGGCCACTTTCCCACTAACTTTGTTCACCGTAATAAAAGGATGGGTGAGCTAAAAACATTTGCAGAAACCAGATGGCTGAAGAACATATTGTCTACTGTACTCATGATCATTGCTTTGCTTATTTCTGTATGTTGTAGTATCCAATGTATTCCTGCTTTGTTTGCTATGATGACAAACATATTTGCCAAACATAAAGAGAACATCATAATAACAACATAGCTGAACCCTGTTGCAAAAAAACAAAAACAGAGGAGATGTGGGAATCAGGTGGCCATAGTACATGTATAGACCAGTTTAATTGGTTGGACACGTGTATGGAATTTAGCACCGAAATAATCTGACTATGAAAAGCGGGTTCAGCTACATGATCATTGGAGGGGCCCTATTTAGATTGGAGGCTGTGTTTGCTGCAAGGCATAGACATCTCCTTGTAGAACATTCCTGACAACTGAGGTAGATCTCTGGTAACGGGGCCTCTCGGTTGGCAGGTGATGGGATGCTGGGAACGAAGCCAAATATGATAACATAGCAGAGTTAAGTTTTGTTTTTACCTTAGGTATCACTTTACTAGAATTCACGTGATTTACTGTAATTGGTAGAATGTGAAACCTATATGGAGAATATATGGATGCTTTTCTATTTCATGTATGTAATATGAGATGTGTAGCCATAATAACGCCTTCTGATGATGCTGTATTTTGATAACTAATAAAAGAGATGGCAGACTTTTGTTCTCTGCTTTCTCATCCCGAGAAACACCTGTCCTTGTGCTTTCTCTAATCTGGACTACTCATGAGGAGCCCGCCAGGGTGAATGCAACAAGGTGGGATGGCGGGTGGGTGGTGGGTGGAGGAGGAGGAATGGGGAAAAAATCTGTTGTATTTGATAAAACTTTTTAATAAAAAAAAGAAAGAAGTTGATCTATCATGTGGGCTCTAACTAGTTAATATTGGCTGATATTATAAGCCATGTTTGATAGAAGCAGAACTCTGTTATTAGGAAAGTTGGGAGTTCAAGTTGCCAGGGTTGAGAAACACTGCTCTACAGTCTATAAAATTAAAGAAAAGGATCCCAGGCTGAAGGAATTACTGATTACTGCAAAGTAGAGAAACATTGTATGTCAGGATTACATTGTCAAGTGAAAATAAATCAGGGGTGAAATGCTCCCAGTTTTGACCGGCTCGGGTGAGTAGAAAGTGATGGCGGCAGGCAGTTCGGAGAACCGGTAGCAAAAATCCCTGCCCCTGCCCCCCATGCCCAGCTGAGCCGCGTGATCATCAGAGCCTTTTTTTTCCCATTTAAATGGCTCTGACGATCCAAGCTCTGACGATCTCAGCTGAGTTGCCTGCTAATCGGTACCAAAAATCCCTCTCCCTCCCCCCCTCAGCTTGCTTACCTTAGTTGCTGGTCGCAATGCCTTGCTGTAATCCCTGCAATCCATTGCATCAGCAAGAAACTGAATCTCCCTGCCTGCAATCAAGCAGGCAGGGAATTGTGGACTTCAACTCCCAGAATTCCTCAGCCAGCAAAGCAAAGCTGGCTGAGGAATTCTGGGAGTTGAAGTCTACAAGTCTTAAAGTTGCCAAGGACGGAGACCCCTGTTCTATTGGGTAAGTTTTTTTCCCCTTTGGGAGCTTTAAAAAAATAGTTAATTGGGGTTTTTTTAGTTGTTCTTTTTTTAGATCTAGCCATTTAAAGTTTAGGAAGTTTTAAATTTAGCTGCTTTTATATAAAAATAAAAATAAAATAAAATAAAATATTTGTGCAGCTTTCTGAGATTTAGTGTGTTTCTGTAGTGTTTCACTCTAACTACACAAACACACAAAATCTCACAAAGCTGTATGTGGAATTTTGTGTGTGTAAAGTGTGAAAGTTGGTTTTTTGGGCTTTTTGTGGCTGTGTGAGGTTCCTGCTTGTTGCAGGGGCCATTTTGGGTCTAGCACAGCTGCTTTTACATTGTCGGTGAGCCAGTTGTGTTGTGTTGTGTTATGTGTATGTAAAGTGTGAAAGTTGTTTTTTTGGGCTTTTTGTGGCTGTGTGAAGTTCCTGCTTTTTGCAGGGGCCATTTTGGGTCTAGCACAGCTGCTTTTATATTGTGAGCCAGTTGTGTTGTGTTGTGTTTTGTAGGTTAAAAAAGGGCAAAGAAGTGACATTGACTTGGCCACGCCCACCTGACCAACAAGCCACGCCCTCCCAGTCACCTTACCGCCAAGCCCCGCCCACTAATTAAATCACGCCCACAGAACCGGTAGCAAAAATATTTAGATTTCACCCCTGAAATAAATCCTTGAAGTCTGTAAACACGAGTTAATTTCCCTAATAGTGTTTTCAAATATGCACAGAGTACAGTATACTGGAGTTCAGGACAGAACAAACTTGGAAGTAGTGGACTTACAGGATGTTGATTTCCAGCAGTCTTCTTGAACTCTACAAGTCCACTCAGTTCTTACCAAAGGAAAGTAGATTGCTTTGGCAGCAGGAGGGAGAGGAGAAGGAGGAGGAAACAACAACCACCTATTTGGTGATCCACATTATTCCTCTCTGAGCAATTCCTCTCAATATTTCTTAAAATTGATGCCCAGAACCTGATACAATACCAATTAATACCGAATTACTTCTGTGTACCAAGTAATACAGAATTATTACTTTCTGTGATTTTGAAACTATATTTCTATTGTTGGAGCATATTTTTTACATCATACTCTTATTTGGTTTGCAATGAACTTCTGTTTCACAGTGATTGCAAGGTGGTTTTCATTGAAACTGTCACCAAGCCAAACATCTCTCATCCTATAATTAGCCACCCATTTCTCTAAACTACCATGATTGCTTTGAAGTTTATTTCTGACTTCTAAGGTATTAACTATCCTATCTGCTTATTTGATGAGCATTCCCTCCACCTTCTTATCCAATAATAAAAATACTGAAAGCTTCTGATCTAGGGATGGTATTGAGGTCATTGCTGTACTTCCACTTTAGTTTAATTAGAACCACTTTAATGTGGTTTGAATTTAGCTTTCCAGTCAATCCATATAGCTGCTTAATTATTGTATCATCTAGACTACGCATCATGGCAGGAATTTAAGATAAAAATCAAATGCATTTTAATAATTGTTTTCCAATCTCTAAATGTTGACATATAACTTCTGAAATGTCTATTGATAGTTTTATATTTATATTTCCATTACATTCATGAAATTATAAATGCATATTCTGCTTTAAGTTCTTCCTGGAACATAAAGGCTGACTTGCCCTAGCCAAATTGAATGAATCACTTTCAGAAGCAGATGCAAAACCTAAAATGTATATTCAAGGATCAGATCAAATACTAGAATTCAAATTCTTATTGAATAAACTGGAGATCCTGGCTCAGTCTTCTTATTACTGTGACTAAAACATAATTGTTTCACCTAGTATTTAACTTGAGAGTTATCAGTCCTCCTAGGTAAACCAGACAAAAATACAACCATACATTTATTGTAAAACTACATTAATAGCATCTTTCAAACCTGAAAGTATAAATCTTCCACTGTGACTTTAACTGCCTGGCCCATTATGGTTAGTTTTTCCTAGGTTTCTTTCTGACCATTACAAAATGGTGAGCGCCCTCCTCTCTAACCTGATCTTTCTTTCCCAGAGAACATTTTTTCCCTCTCTTGAAGGTCATTCTTATAAATCATTACAACAGTTTAGCTTTTCCTGTTTTGACAGTATTGACACTAATATACTTTGAGGTTCTGCTTTTGCCAAAGGAAGTGACATAATTACTTACAACTATTTGAGTTTCAACTCTTTAATTGTCAACAATTATTTCACCCAACAGCAATCTTCAAACATATTAGTGCCACCCTGCAAGTCAGTACATTATGTAAGAAAGAGGAAGATAATTCATTCTCTTCATGTTCTTATTTCTTAATTATGCTTCTGTGTTCTCTATGTTCTGGAAGGTTTGGTAATTTTACAAAACAGATGCCTTTGCCACTGGATTTGGTCCTCCTTTGAACAATTTGTCAGTTGTTTCCTACTAGCAAGATGAATGAAAACATAGGCATTCTACTTCTACTCTCTTCGTCTCTCTTTCTGTGTGTTCCTGCCATCTGTTTTTTCTCTTGACTGATAATCCGTATTTCCCCAGAGCTTGTGGAACAGGTGTTCAACTTGCTTCAAACTATCTTTACTTAGAATTTTTTAGAAAAACATGGAAATTGAACCTGGGTACATAGGTAAGTGTATTCTTTTTTAAATTCTTCTTTGTCAATAAGTGTTTTTATTTACATATTATGTTTAAGGTAGTCCTTATTATGTGTCCAGTTCCTTTAATGGAGTTTTTGGCTCTCCATCTCCCACTCTCACCTCTTCTGCTATATATGGCATATGAAACATTCACTGTAACTAGACAGTGAATAAAATATTTGCATTTGCTTTACAAAAGAGATGAATATACAAATGTTCAAAAAAAAAACCCTAAACAGACATGTAAAAGTTCAGTTTCTTGGTGGAAGCAAAAGATTTTAGAATAAAACACTGTTTTAAAATTTAAAGATGATTATGTGTAAGGCTCTACTTTGCAATCAGTGTTGCCTTTTTTTTTTAAGTACTTGTTGGATCCTATCTCATTGCCCTATGGGATACTGACATTGTTCTTTTAAAATTTGTATTTTCTTTAATTTCTTTTAATTTTCTTGCCTCCTTTTTTTTTTAATTCTCTCCTTAGAATGACATTTGGTCTCCAGCTGCCTGAAGAACTTTTCTGTTGGTTGGTTGCTTTTTTTATTACCCTTCTTTATAATTTAATCAGTGGTGGGATTCAATTTTTTTAACAACCGGTTCTGTGGGCGTGGCTTAGTTGGGGGTGTGGCTTGGTGGTCATGTGACCGGGTGGGTGTGGCTAGCTAGTCATGTGACCGGGTGGGCGTGGCTAGCTAGTCATGTGACCGGGTGGGCGTGGCTAGCTGGTCATGTGACTGGGTGGGCGTGGCTATCTACATAGGGACTACTCAGAGGGCTGAAAAAAGTCATTTCTGACTGGTCCTCGCACTTTTGATGGGTCCTTGCATTTATGACCATCCTCACATTTATGCCTGTTGCGGCATTCTTAACAACCATGTCACTCATTTCACAACTGCTTCTCTTCATCATGGTGACAAGATAGGGCAAAAACGTAAAATGTGAGGACAGTCGTAAGTTCGAGGACTGGTCAAAAGTGCGAGGACCAGTCAAAAATAACTTTTTCAGCCCTCTGAGTAGTCCATATGCACAAAAGGACTACCCGGAGGGCTGAAAAAAGTGATTTCTGACAGGTCCTTGCACTTTTGACTGGTCTTCGCACTTATGACTGGTCATCATTTATGCCCATTGTAGCATTCTTAACAACTGTGTCACTCATTTCACAACTGCTTCTCTTCACCATGGTGACAAGATAGGGCAAAAACGTAAAATGTGAGGACAGTCGTAAGTTTGAGGACTGGTCAAAAGTGCGAAGACCAGTCAAAAATAACTTTTTCAGCCCTCTGAGTAATCCATATGCATAAAAGGATACACCAATAGAGAGGGATGAAGGAAGGGAAGGGAAATTAGAATAGGAGTGAGAGGAAGAGAGGGAGGAAGAGAGGAGGAGAAGGAGAAAGGAAGAGGAAGTAGGGAGGGGAAGAAGAGAGGGGGGGAAGAGAAAGTAAGAAGGAAAGAAAAGAGAGGGGTGGTAGGTTTGAGGAGAAAGATTGCTGTACAATAAAAAAGATGAAAGGGAAGAAAGCCAACCCCAAACAAATATAAAGATATTAAGATAAAGAATGAATTGTTAAACTTTAAAGAATAAAAGAGAACAAATATGAATAAATAGCAATAATTAGAAACACACATACAAACATACAATGTATTTTCTTTGAACAGAGTATTTGGCTGGTTCACAAATTTAAATAGTGTTTAGTCATTTCAATTAAATTTACAATTTCTATATTTCCTTTTTGCCATATTTATTCCTCATCTATTTTTTTAAAAAAACCAATATTACCCTTCATTCTCATCTCTAATCTTAATCAAATTCAATTTTTCCCTTCTATTCTATATTATACCCCTTCCCATTGTCATCTATTTTTATATCCATCCTCACATTGGTTAATTATGTAATATTACAGTTGTTTAATAAAAATTCAACATTTTAATATAAATCAATTAGTTATATAACTCTCTTTTTTGTATATTAATCAATATAAACATGAATATTCCAATTATTTTCATGCAATCCAATTTCTCACAAATCAATTAATTATATTTACCAATAATAATAAACCAAATAATTTCCCCCATATATTCCTCCAAACCACAACTTAACCATTTCTGCTTTCAACACAATATACAATTAATAGTATCTCAATTATTACAATTCCCTAGTTAAATAGAGTTTTTTTCCTTTTGTGTTTTAAAATCTTGAACTCTCCTCTTTTGCCCTAAATTTCCCATTGTTTGCACCTACTTTTTTTGGTGAGGAAAAAGAAAAAGAAATCTCTCTCTGCCTCATTTTGTCACGTTGCAGCAAAGACCCTGCTTTACTTTCGGTTTCGCCTTTTCAGCATAGCTAGGCTAGGGGGAAAAAAATCTGCTCGAGCACTTTTTGCAGAGAGCAATAGAGCCCTGGCAAAACAGCTGAGAGCAAATCAGCTGAGAGGCGGGAGGCTGATCTAATCAACTTGTGCTAATTAACCAATGCTGAAGCTGAAGGGGCTGTTTTTTCTTGCTGTTTGCTTGCAAGGAGGTAAGTGCTGTGAGGCACAGGGCAAAGGGTGGGGGCCACCCTCCTTGCCATTTAGCCTCTCCTCCCACCCCCCTTGCCTCTTACCGCCCCCTAAGGCATTCCACCACCCCCCAGAGGGTGGTACCACCCACTTTGGCAACCACTGGCTTAACTACTTAACTACTTAACAACCAGTTCTTCCGAAGTAAAATCCCACCACTGGGTCTACCCATTTATTTTTGCAGGCATCGGTCTAGTCATTTGTTTTCTTTTAACACTGATCAGCTGTAGGGCGGCTCTTTAAAGCCCCGCAGCAGCTGCGAGGCCAATAAAATTACAAAAAAACACCGAACTGTTTGTTAAATTGCTGGCTCGCCCACCCCTCGCCCAGTCTCAAACCTTCTCTTCATTGCGAAGGTTGTTGAGAGTGTGGTTGCACGACAGCTTCCCCAGTACCTGGATGAAATGTCATATCTAGATCTGTTCCAGTTGGGCTTCAGGCCTGGGTACAGCACGGAAACGGCATTGGTCGCGTTGGTTGATGATCTCTGGAGGGCTCGGGACAGGGGTTGCTCCTCTGTCTTGGTCCTGTTAGATCTCTCAGCGGCTTTTGATACCATCGACCATGGTATCATGCTGCACCAGTTGGTAGAGTTGGGGGTGGGAGGCACCGTACTACGGTGGTTCTCCTCCTTTCTCTCCGACCAGTCGCAGTCTGTGTTGACAGGGGGGCAGAGGTCGACCCCGAGGCCCCTCATATGTGGGGTGCTGCAGGGATCGATCCTCTCGCCCCTTTTGTTCAACATTTATGTAAAGCCGCTGGGCGAGATCATCCGTGGTTTTGGGGTGAAGTACCATCAGTACGCTGATGACACCCAGCTGTACATCTCCACCCTGGACCACCCCAACGATGCCCTTGAAGTGATGTCCCGGTGCCTGGAGGCTGTACGGATCTGGATGGGGAGGAACAGGCTCAGGCTCAACCCATCCAAGACTGAGTGGCTGTGGTTTCCGACGTCCCGATATAGTCAGCTGGTGCCATCACTGACTATTGGGGGTGAATCATTGGCCCCCACGGAAAGGGCTCACAACTTGGGTGTCCTCCTGGATTCACGGCTGTCTTTAGAAGAGCATTTGACGGCCGTGACCGGGAGGATTTTTCATCAGGTTCGCCTGATTCGCCAGTTGCGTCCCTTTCTAGATCGGGACTCCCTACACACAGTCACTCATGCCCTCGTCACCTCTCGTCTGGACTATTGTAACGCTCTCTACATGGGGCTCCCCTTTAGGTGCACTCGGAGGCTCCAACTGGCGCAGAGTGTGGCCGCACGGATGGTGATGGGAGCAACGTGGAGCTCCCATGTAACATCTCTCCTGCGCGAGCTGCATTGGCTCCCGGTGGTCTTCCGAGTGCGCTTCAAGGTTTTGGTTACCACCTTTAAAGCACTCCATGGCTTAGGACCTGGTTATCTACAGGACCGCCTGCTACCACCAATAGCCTCCCACCGGCCAGTACGCTCCCATAGAGAGGGGCTCCTCCGGGTGCCGTCAGCCAAACAATGTCAACTGGTGGCCCCTAGGGGGAGAGCCTTCTCTGTGGGGGCACCTACGATCTGGAACGAGCTCCCCCTGGAGATACGGAGGATCCCGGATCTTCGCACCTTCCGTCGCGCGCTTAAAACGTTTTTATTTCATCAAGCTGGCCTGGCCTAAATCTTCTCCTTTTTTAAATTTAAATTTTAAACACAAATTTTAATCTGTTTAATTATGGGGTATTTTAAAATTCAACCTCAATTATTTAATTTGTTTTAATTATTTTAAATTTTGTATCTCTGTGTTTTATCCTCTGGCTGTTCACAGCCCTGAGTCCTTCGAGAGAAGGGCTGTATAGAAATTTAATAAAATAAATAAATAAATAAATAAGGGGCGGGGCGAGCCAGCAATTTAACAAACGGTTCGGCCGAACCCCCTAGAACTGGCAGAATCCCACCGCTGAATTTAATCCTTTGTTTTCTATCCTTCCATCATTGCCTTTTTCCTGTCCCATTCAACTAGGAATTAACAACAATTTAATGGCACATAATCAATTCAGCATACTGGGCACATCTAGAAAAGATTATTTTAATATTATAGGCACATATTAGATACACTATTTCAGTAATGTATAGATATGCATACATAGAAAAGTAGGTGCACCAAAAACATCACTTTAGCAGCAATGGGACCCATCCTGTTTTAACATGTTGCATATTAATGTAGAGTTTCAGTCTTATGATCATGGCTACCACCTTGACTTTTTTGACCTCCCATTGTGACTGCAGAAAAATATCCTTGTATTCCAATCTGTTAGCATTAAAAATGCTTGAAATGGTAATTGTCAGGGTTGGTTGACTTTACGTACTAGCAAAGCCAAAAGCAGTCATTGTTAAATAAGCAATGGTTTTGTACAGTGCCTGAATCCAGTCTAATGAATAATACTCTCTTGAGTTATGCAGTACATTAAAATCTGGCTTCGCTTGAAACTTACTGGTATATCCCAAATTCCTAGATCTGTCTTTGGTATATTAAAGGAGAAATGTCCTGGAATATTCTCTTTAACTCCCAGATCTTCAGGGTGCTGAATTTAGCATGTAGTCATTCATTTTCTGATTTCATGACTGGTTTTTGAATGAAACCTAGTTACCACAAAAGAATAAGTAGCTTATTGTATCCTGACATAGTGTTTATTTGGACTACGACTTGCTTGTGCTTAAGAAGTAGCAGTTCACTAACTGCTAAAAGTAGCAGTTCACTAACTCCTGAATTCTGTTTAATACCACAGTTTTCCAGTAAAGTGGACCAGTTATGATTTTTGCATAGCAAAAGAGGCACTTTCCCCAGGTCTGGTAAGGTAGATATGCAGATAAGAGTGGCAAATAGTCCCAATTATAGGAATAACTATGTGCTCTCCAATATTCTGACCCATCTCTTTAGATATTACTAGTAGTCTAAAGTTGATTTTATGAGTAAATGAGGTAGTTCTCGTTTCGCAAGCACAATTGCTTATGATAAAATGATCACTAAACGACATGGTTGTTAAGTTAACTCTATGCTAGAGAAAGAGAGGAAGAGAGAGACATCCTATAAGCCAGGCTTGCTTGCTGCTGTCTTATTAGACAAAATTCTCACTCCAGCATGCATTGCATCAGGCATAGAAATATGGGCATAAATGCATGCATGGACTGGAAAAATATTTTTTTACTATGACTTACTACTGTTTATTACTGTCATATTTGCAAATGGTTATTAAGGAGTCAATTATTAAATTAGAACTACTTGTAATGGTGACCCCCAGGGGGAGGGCCTTCTCTGTGGGGGCTCCCACCCTCTGGAATCAGTTGCCCCCTGAGATAAGGAGAATCCATGACCTCAGTGCCTTCCGCCGTGCCCTTAAAACCTTCCTTTTCCAACAAGCCGGGCTGGCCTAATTCTTTTTACATGTTTTTTAATTGTTTGGTTTATTGTTTTAATTAATGGGGCCAAATTTATATATATTTTTTAACTGTATTTTAATATTTGTATTTGATGTTTTTATTTGGCTGTTCACCGCCCTGAGTCCTCAGGGAGAAGGGCGGTATACAAATTCAAAAATAAATAAATAAATAAAATTAAAAGTGCCTAGTTGCCAAGTGCTTCTTTTTTTAGCTACCTGTGGTTGGCTAAAACTGCATTAGAAAGTTCTCAGCAGGAAAATAAAGGAATCACAATTTAAATCTCCTGATATTTACAGAAATTTTAGTTTATTGAGGACATGATTCAACCTACTATAACTGATGTATATAAACTCATGGTAAAAAAATACTAGTGGCCTGTCCTAATTTTGAGAGAATTCTGCAATGCCCCACCAATAAAATCACACTTATTTTTGTAGATAAAATAAGTATTCTTGCCTTGGTTACTTTTCTATAACAGTGTTTTCCTCCTTGAAGAGTGGTTGAAAAGAAACTTGAGCAATTTGAATTTGTTGACTTGAATTTAAAAGGAGGGAAATTATATATTTTAATCTAAATATCCTTTAGTAATTGGACAATTTGAGCCTTGGAATTTATTTACACCCTCAATGCCTATGGTGACTTAAATTTAACATAGAAACAGAGCAAAACAAACAAAAAAAATCATGGATTTCTTTACTATAATTACATATTTTAAAATTACTAATTTAGCCTTGATTTCAGCAGGTTCCATGTGGTGTGTAATAATAAAAAAAATAAATGAAAGGAAGCAGTCACATCTGCACTGTGACAACAAAGGGGATTCCATGAAAAATGAAAACACAGAGAAAACATGAAAACATGTGAGCAAGTGCAGGTGCACATATATTGATTTTCCATAGTATGTAATAATCACTGAAGAATATGTAAGGGCAAAAGGAGAATGAAGAATTATGTTATTGAAAGGAATGAGATCTGTAAGAAGGGATCAAAAGCACAAAAGGCAACAGGAGAGAAAGTTTGCAATCAGAATCAAATTGATACACCCCCCCCCCAAATTGAAAGCACAAATGTGCTGATTCTTGAAAGACAAGAGTACAAAAGGTGCCCTAAAGTAAGACTTTTCAAACGTTCAGTTGTGGAACCTGTAAGCATACAACCTGGAACTCCAGATGAACAACAGCAAAAATGACAAAAAATTGGCAATAAACCAAAAAGTAAGCTTTTTATTATATATGCAAAATTAACATTTCAAGTACAACAAAAAATAGACTTTGATTTTTACAGTTGCTATATTTGGGTAGGTTAATGTTTTAACATTTTAACCAAATTAATCAGCTCTCAACAGCTAGGATATGGCTAGCTGTTTTTCCTTATTTAAAAGTTCAGTATGTGGTGCAATTAATATTACTTGTAGGCAGAGTTCACTTTCTAATATATTTAGCCTACTTCGATACTTGTCTTGATTGCAGCAGCAGTGGATTTAATTTTCCATTTTTTGTACTATCTGCAATTGTACCAGTTTGTAAGCCAGTCATCTACAGGTAGTCCTCGACTTACAACCACAATTGAGCCCAAAATTTCTATTGCTAAGTGAGATATTTACATGAATTTTGTCCCATGACCTTTCTTGACAGATTTGTAAGTGAATTATTGCAGTTGTTAAGTTAGTAACATAGTTAAGTGAATCTGGCTTTCCCATTGATTTTGCTTGTCAGGTCACAAAAGATGATCACATGACACCAGGACATTGCTACCATCATAAATATGAATCAATTGCCAAGTGTCTGAATTTTTATCACATGACCATTGGGATGCTGCAATAATTGTGTGAAAAATGGACATAAGTCACTTTTTTCAGTGGTGTTGTAACTTGAACGGTCACTAAATGAACTGTTGAAAGTTGAAGACTATCTGGAAAAATTTTGACATTATAGACATAGTTATTAAACTTCTTTAAAAAGTAATACGCATATCTTGGGTGTATATCTGAGGGCATGGATACCACTAAAGTCACTTAAGTACCCATATTTCTCCTGCCTGCCTTGAAACATGATTCTCATGGATGTTTACTCAAGAGAAAGTCTACTTCCAAAGAGATTTCAGGCACATGTGCAGTGCAGCCAAAGAGAACAACTTTCTTCATTAATTTTTCAACAGCTTAACGGAGCTTATTCCTAAAGTGTGCACAGGATGCTATCCCGATTATGAAGCAGCCCTCTTGGGGACTGCAGAGATATACATTTTGTGTGCAATATGGAAAGTGCAGAGGGGGAGAGGTACTCACAATTGCTCTTGCAGAGTTAGAAATATAGGTAGTCCTTGGTTTACCACAATTGGGACTAGAATTTCCATTGCTGAACAAAGCAGTTAAGTGAATCAAACCCAATTTTATGACCTTTTGCCCCAATTGTGAAGTGAATCACTACAGTTGTTAAATGAATCATGCTGTCATTAAGCAAATCCTGCTTCGTTTTGCTTGTTTGAAGCTGGCTGGGAAGGTTACAAATGGCAAGCACAAAGCCCCAGAATGCTGCAATTGTCATAAATAGATGTCTGTTGTCAACATGTTGTGACGATCTAAATGCAAGGACTGGTTATAAAACACTGTTTCAGTGTTGTAACTTGAAATAGTTGCTAAATGAATGGTCATAAGTCAAAGGATACCTGCATTTATCTGAGTTGAGGGACAGGTAGAGTTGGGTTTTGTGTGTCCATATGTATGTGGCAAGAGAAAGCTACTCACCTTCTGCATAGAGCACTTGCAAACAATGGTCATGTAGTCAGCAAGAGAGAAAAAGCTGAATCAAGGCAGGGATGAATGGTTAGGTGTGTTCAGGCTTTTCCCCCCATAAGCCTTCATAGAATTCATTCAGCTCCCTGTGGAATTCTTGGGTTCTGCATAACCAGTTTACAAAATCCTGAATGTAGAATGCTCTATTGGACTCTGTGAATCACATATATGGGTTATGAACCTGCAAAGCTCCCACTGCCACAATATTAACATTTTATTTGTCCTTCAGCTCCGATCACCCTTAAATGTTTGCCAAGAATTTGCTTAATATGCTTATTGCAACCATTTATCTCATTTGTGAAGCTACTCTGAGTGGCAGATTTTGAAGCTATTGTAGCTTCTCCCTTCAAAGCTTCCATTTCTGACTTGACTCATCTCCAAATGTGCCACTCTTGCAGAGAATCCTGCTCCACTACACTAATATTGGCATCAAGGAAACAGTACGACCATTCCATTCCTCTGGGTTCAGATATGAGGCAGATTTTTCTAGATGATTTTACACGATCTCAAAAGAAGTGTACACTTCATATCTTCCACCACCTATATCCATGTCCCAATGTGACGTTCACCTCTGAATCTTTCTTCAACTGCTTTACAGACATTATTTGAGAATTAATATTCCAAGCCAATGCGACTCTTTAAGAAAAACAAAAGGGCAGAGCACCTTGCTTGAAAGAGGCCAAGAAATCAGTCAGGTAGAATGGGAATAAAACTTGAATGCATGAAATTTGGAATATGATTTATATTTCTTACAATTGCAGGCTGCAGCACTCATCTGGATAAACTGCTATGCTGAGGAGACCTGTGGTTGAGACATTGATCTTCATCCAACATTATCAGTTGGATATTTGCTTCCAAAGGGAAGTAATTTTTAGCAGGGAATCTTTTCTTCAGTTACTTTAGGACATATCATGCCTCCTATAGATAAGAATTATGCTGTTCATGTATGAATCAGAGGCTATTGAAGATACAAATTGCTTAATCTCAGTTGTGGAATCCTTGATGCTCTCTGAGCTTGGTTGTTTGCTTGCAAATGTTTCATTAACTTACTAGGTAACATCTTCAGTGCTAGAAGCAGCAGGGCTTGCTCTGTTTATATACAGCAGCTTGCCCTGTCTGTTGGCAGAGGTGTTAAACTCTGAGCTACATATATTCTATTCTATTGATAATTTTATTTCTCTTGAGTTATCACTTGTGAATTCATACCACACACTCCTGTCCAGTTAGGTACCTTCAGATCCACTGCATCCATGTTAACTGCAAGGGTTGAGTAGGAGCTTTGCTTAGTTGCCTGGAGCGTATGGAAGGGGGTATGTCTGTCAAATGATTCTGTAAGCTCTAGAAGGCTACAAACACACCTTTGTATTAGTGAACAACCAATACTTCTTCACAGATAAAGAACTGCAGTTAAAGGTAAGTAACCAATTTGGATCCACCATAATAGAAAGATTATTCTTTCTATTCATTCTTCCAAAGACTTATGTTTACAACTGTTTTGTCACTATTTTGATCATTTAACCATTTTGATCATTCAGCCATTTTAACAACTTACCCTACTTTTCAGCTCCCACATGTTACGTGGGCCATCTGTTTAAAAAGTACTGGTAAGTTTTAATTTTAGAAACTTCCCTCATCCCACTTTCTTTCATTTTGCTAAAAATGGATCATGGTAAAAATGGTAAGGGAGAGCATATTTCAAGAAAATTTGTAGGCTCAAAACACATCAATTTTATTAAAAATAACTTAATCCTTACAGTGCTTTTTAAAATTTTTGTTACAGTATAATGCAACTCCTTTGATTGGCAGCAGAATAAGGTATTAATTGTATCAAACACAATTACTTAAAATAATAGGTATCTGAAATGACATTTTATAAAAAATTGTTTAGTCATTTGTTTGCAGTTAGGCATAACTGGTGTTGCAACAATCATTTCAGAATAGGAGTTTTACTCTCAAGTAAAAGATACTCTGTCTATTGAAATTTGGAGGCTTGTCATTGTGCTAAATTTCATGTAAAGTCACTTACCAGAACTAACCTAATTCTGATTCTGAAGCATTTTATCCTATTTCCATTTTTAATAATTCATTTTAAGTATTTCATGAAATACTTCGGGGTATCTTTCAGCCACGAGTATAAAAAAGCAAAGGAAGAACAATATTAAGTTATAACCTAAGCAGATGCTACAATTGTGATGTCATACCTTGTAGTAAGGATATTTATTTCATTTAAATTTATTGACTGTCCACATCCAGTGAACTCTGGACTGTAGACAAAACTAAGGGACTTAAAACCAGCTAAAAATATTAAATAAACAGATAGTTTGAACTATCATGCTTTCCTGACTAAATTCATAACTGACTGACCAACTTAATAGGCTTTACACAGGATGATTTGGGATAAAAATGTAGTTTGAGTTGTGACCATTCATTCAGTGACTGTACACATAACACTCCATGAATGGTATCTATGACTGGTCTTTTAAGTTCTAGCTATTGCAGCACCCTGCAGTCACGATTGCAATTTGGGCACTTGGTAACTGGTTCATACTTATGACAGTTGCAGTTACATGACTGCCACTTGCGACCTTCCCTGCTAACTTCCCACAAGTGAATTGGAAAGCTGGCAGAGAGGGTGGGTCACCCCATCTCAAGGAGTCCCAATATGGAGAACAAAATTCCAGGGTGTCATACTCCATACTTTTTTTAAATTTGAAGGATTTTGCATACTTCTAAACATATGCTTATGAAATGGGAATATTATCCTAGTCCAACTATAATGTACTACAATATCCAACAGACTTCTTATATTATTAATTGGGGTCAGATGATTGAACCCATTTACCTTCATTCTTTTAAAAAGCTGTACTGTCACAAACCTAGAGTTTCATCCCATTGTGTTCAAACACTGCATCAGGTAATAGTTCACAATCTGCATACTAAGGTTAAATTTTCACTCAAATCTATTGAAGTAAATTAATAATTCATGTAGACTTCTTCTGGGCCTATAAAGTATAAATAACACAAAACTAGTCCTTTGATGACAAACAAAACCAGGTAAAGTGGAAGGCGGTTTAATACTACATTTTAAATACAGATTATACTGAAGTGCAAGAAAAGGGTTATAGCTTTGAAAATGTATTAAAATTGTAGGGTTTTTTTTTAAGAACTGCAGTGAACACTAATTTATTTCACAATTTGAATTATTTATCTGTAACATATTAAAATAGAAAATACCTACTAAATTTCACATAGAAAATATGACTACAAGTTATAAAATACTGAAAATATTTAAGCACCAGAATATCAATATTTGACATTTTTATGGATATATCAGGAAAATATTCAATAAAGTGCAATTAATTTCATTCCAACTTATGGCAAGTATTTTCTAAAAATATTTTTAACATTTAAGACTAGAATGATCCTCTATAATTATCTTACTGAAGAATTTTTATGGCAGAAATTTATTGAAAGCACACATGCCTCAGATTTGAGATGAGAAACAAATGATTCGAACAGTTTGGCTTCCTTGTGGAAATGAAAGTGGTATATATATTTTTAATAGAGAGGATAACCTGAGTGACTCCCAGAAAATTGTGTAGCCTGTGATCAACAGCTAAACATGACAAATCAGTATAGAATAGATCCAGGAACACAAAAGGTAACTTTGGAAATATATTTCATTATTACACAAGTAATTGTTACACAATTAATTGTTCTGGATTGAAATTGCCCTGCCAATTATTATGCCTTTTGATAAAATTCTTAGTTTCAGTATTTCTCTAGGAGTAAAAATAAGTTGAACTAGACTCAATGACAGCAGGGCAGTATTTTTTAAAATGGGGTCTTCCAAATTAGTCTTCTGTTACCAGCAGAATGAACAAATCATAATTATACCCATTAAAGCTGCACCTCCAATATAGTTAAGTGCACAAGCCTTTTGAAACCTTATATATTTGTAGGAATGCATTAAAAGTGTCCTAATTACAATGGCAATGACTAATCGAGGAAAAAAGTGTAAGCAGTACTATCAAGCTGTACATTTTTAACAGCAGTTGCATTTTATAACAAAAATGTGTTCTGCGCTGAATGCCAGTTTTCCTACATATGGAGAATTTGCGGTAATATGAGATTTTTAAAATAATGAATCCTCTGACAATGTAACAAAAATTTCTGTGTACAAATGTTTACTTCATTTGCAAAATGGCAAATGACAAATTTTTAGATATGGTATGTTCTAGATTTATATTTTACAGGGGTGGGTGCCTTCGTTCCCCACCTCTGTTTTACAGTATTTTGCAGTGTGACAAAAACCTTCAGAACTGATTTTAAGGCTTGCTTTGAACCATATATCTACATTTTGTCTCAGCTTGACACAAACAAAAAAAGATTCCACATTAATAAATGTGGGTAGCTGATAGATATTTATCAGCTTCCATTAATTTTCATGAAATGTTGAGCCTAAGGAATATTTGAGAGATATTTATTCATTTTTTAAAAATGTTTCAGAATTATGCTTGTTTTCATGAATTTTCATATATATCTTTCATTCCAAACTGTAGGAATCATAATTTATAATATTCTAGCAGTTATCCCAAGATTACTCCAAAATGTATTCAGTAATACTGCAACAAGAAATTGAGATCAAAGTGTGACCGTTATAGACACATTTTCACTAAAAAAGATACTGAAATCATAGTACTGTATATAGCACCTTTCTACATGAAACAAGTTACAAGAGTCTTATAAGGATATCTTTGGAACTCTGGCAGCCACCTCTGGGTAATAGGGCTATATTGACTGCAAATAGTTGAGTGTAAAATAGGTGCAATATTTCTGGAAGATATGAATAAGAATTAGGAATGAGTTCTTCAGTTTTAAACTGTACATTCATGGGCCATGATGGTACTTAGACACCAGGACATTATGGTAAATGAAATTCTAGTCTGCTATTCCCCAATTACATTTCAAAGGAAATTAAGCAATTTATCTGCATGACAGAAATAAGTTACTACGGTGTCCAGTGGAAAGACTCTCTTATTACCTTGTTTTTTTAACTTTGTAATAAATTAACAAAATCATATGTGCTGATTAAAGGCAAAGATCACATTATTCCTTTTTTATTTTTTAAGAAAACCTATACAGATCTCACATTTGGCCAATAAGGAGGGCCCATAGAGTAATACTGGTTCTTTGCCTTTTTACAGCACAATTGCATAGAAGGGACATTATATTTCGCTTCCTGGAGCACACAACATAAAGAAACAAACAATAGTGACTAGGATAAAGATTAGGAAAAGTGTAACTTGTTGGAACCAGACACAACGGTCAATCTGTTCTTGAAGTCTTTTATTAGCTTGTAGTAGTTGCCTTAACTGAAAAAAGGGAAAAAAACAGAAGATGTTATCAACAAAGAAGTATTTTTCCCAGCTGATTTTGTCTACAATTTACCAATATACAATATAGTTGGGATATACCGTAAATAGAAACAATTGTAAATCTTTTTTAAAATCACCAAATCACACACATAAACCAAACTATAAAAGAAACAAAAATGTATTTCAGTCACATGTATCAAAAATATTTTAAGAAAAGGCACAATCTTACAATTTAATAGTTTGAATATATAAAAACAAAAAAACTAGTTTGGATTTTGCATATCAGAATTCATTTTAAAAGAAAAACCAAATGCAACAGAAAAGACCAGTTTTAAGGGTTCCTCATGTAAACATGACTAAGATCAAAACTTTTTAAAGTCTGGTTCTTCTAAGTTTCTGTTGCTAAGAAGTGATGTTACAGGATTTAGTTAGTGCAAAGAAAAAAAGAAGCCTACAGGAAAGTCTTGAATTTCATAATAAAGACCAGTGTACGTGTGAATGAAAATGCATGTTTTGAACAATCGTCTTAGAAAGAATCTTACTTTCAGGAGGAAATCAATTTCAAGGTGGACAGGGGAGGCAATTTTTTAATATAAATGTATGTTTAAGAATGAAATTTTATAGGACTTCCTGTTTGCTCTCTGTCGCTGCCAGACGGTCCCTCAGGACCGCCAGCCCCGTCGCCTGTAAAGAGCCGCCTTTACATCTGAAAGGCGGCTTGAAAAACTCCATTTCCATAAGGAAATGTGTGACAGAGCAGGTGAGGGCAGGTAGAGCTCTCTGCGAAGCCCCCAGAGTTTCTTTTTTACTCTTGGGGACAAAGCAGATGAGGCTCCCTATTTCCCTCGCCGCCGCTCCGGGCTTTGGGAGACCTCTGCCTTTTTGCAGAGCCAGGCGACGAGAACAAGCTTTTTAATGAAAACTAACAGATTGTTTAATCAAAGAGGATGAGATCTGGACCTGGGACCCTAAATCGCAAGTATTTTCAATGACTTTATAAATGATATTGAAGAAAGGAAAAAAATTTAAAATGGCGACTGCCGAGGCTTGAGAAGGGAAAGCTGAAAGAGAAAGTCCTTCCGTTCCAATAGTTTAACAAGCCACAAAGTAGCGGAATAAATACTGCTGGCTACAATTGAGAAGAAAAAGTTTTACTTTTATGTTTCTTTCTTCCTGGAGATTTGATATTGATCTTGTTTGGAAAGAAGCTTTCTTTTCTTAAAATAGAGTTTGTCTGTGTGGAAGGATGGCGTTTAACCTAACAAAGCCAGACAAACAAGCAGCGGGGGGGATTCCCCCATTTACAAACTATGTGAACAAGTTTCAAACCTACAGACTCAGAAAAATGATTTTAACTTAATTGAATTTCTCTTGGAGGAGATGGTAAGAAGGGATGAGATTGTGAACCAGAATCTTGAAAAATTCAAGCAGGAAATTAAAGAATTGATACAATCAAAGTATGACAATTTGAAACAAAAGATTATAACAGTGACTGATGCCTTTTCAGAACTATTTATAAAGATGGATGATAATATTAAGTTATTAGAGTCTAAAATGGAGGAAGTTGATGACAAGATTTATAATTTGGATAATAAAATACAAAGAATTGAAAATGATTTGATAAATACTCAAGACAATAGCTCAGAAGAAAAATTTAAAATGGAAGTTGATCATAAGACTTGCAATGTAGAAAATATAAAACAACGGATTGAAAAAGAAGTTTTAATGATGCAACACAGGTTCACAGAATTTGCTATCAGAATGAGAGGAGTACAGGAAAATAATAGGGATGATTTAAGGAAAATATCTGCTGAAATTCTGGCTGGGATTTTAAAGGTTCATCCTGAGGAAGTATTTTGCAGGATTGATAGAGTCTACAGAGTAAATTCTTGGATTGCAAAGCAAAGGCAACTGCCTAGAGATGTGGTGATTTATTTTACAGACAAAGAAATAAGAAATGATACTGTGCAAAAATCTTTTAATTCTACTTTACAACTGTATGGAAGAAAGATTTGGATATATAAAGAACTACCGTCTAAGATGCTAGTAGATAGAAAGAAATTTGGATTCCTGGTGACTGAGCTTAAAAAACTAAATATTTTATTTAGGTGGGATGTTCCAGTTGGAATAATATTGAGATATCAAGGAGAAAGATACCAATTAAATACTGTTGAAAAAGCGGAAGAATTTTATTATAAGACTTTGAAAATGAGTTCAACATCTTCATGCACAACACAAGATAAGCAGAAGGAGCTGGAAATAATGGAAAAACATCGAGCTACAGAGGTCTTGGTAGATGAATTGCCTTTGGATCCTTTAGATGTTTCAGTTGGACTACCTATAAATAAGAGAGAAGCGGTGTTGGATTCTAATGTGATGACTCATCAAGTCATAGACAAGCATGGAAATCAATCAGTTGATACACAACTTATAGAAAAGAAACATGAATGGCGATCTAAGCCACAAAAGCAAAACCAACAAGATCAAGTTATAGATCAGAATGAAAATCGAACAGTTGATATACAACTCATAGAAAGGAAACCAGGATGGAGATCAAACCCACAAAAAGTCAAGAAAAAAAGAAATAGGTCTCACAAAAACAAAAAATTTTAAACTAGGCAACAGCGAAGCCAGTTATCTAAAAGATGATTGAATACATGAAAAGACAGTTGAGGCGAAGTATTGGTTAATATTATCCTGAGGAGAGTGACAGACCTCTGCAATGCCGTATTTTTGGGATGTGAAAAGGGCCTTAAACTGTTGGATTGGAATTATCTATTTTGGATTCTTTGATAAATGTATTACGTTTATGCTGAGCTATATGGCAAGAGAGCTACGTTGGGGCACGCAGAAGATCTGGTTGCTACCCCATTATGATGGTTGGAATTAATAATCTTGAAGAAAGCCACTATTACAGATACTATATGGAATACAATTATAATGTCACTCGGGTGGTTGTTTTCTTTTTTTTTTACATACATGAAGATATTTATTATTGATGGGGGCAGATGATAACTGAAGATTCCGAACATTCTGTTGGAATTAGGATGTCATGTTACCCTAATATGGGTGATGGAGTTAACAATCTAGTTGAAAGATATTACAGAAGACATTTTATGATTACAAGTTTAAAGTTATTGATTTTATTTATATAAGGGAATATTTTTTTTTAGTAGGGCGGGCAGAAGAATAAAGATATTAAGAATTGTTATGTATGGAAATTTTGTAGGAAAGTGGGTGGAGACAGGCTAGTTTATTGATTGTTTAGTTTAAGAAAAGGGATGTTTAAGAGATATATTTATGGGAGTGGAGGAAATGGACAGACTATGAGTTGAATAAATGTTAAATTAGGATTTATTATATAGTTTTATAGTGGAAGGCTGCTTTGAAATATTATATTAATATACACAAAAGATTAAATGTTAAATTAGGATTTATTATATAGTCTTAAAGTGGAAGGTTGTTTTGAAATGTTATATTAATATACATAAGAGGTTTAAGAGATATATGTATGGGGAGGAGAAAAAGGGCAGATTATTGTTAAATTGGGAGTTATAATAATATTATTATGTTAAACTAGAAGTTATTACATAATGTTATAGTAGAATGTTATTTTGAAATGTATAGTAAAAGGGGGATATAATAATATTATTAGAAAGAAAGGGTCAGTATTTGGGGGATGGAGTAAGGGGATGGTAAAGTATTATATAATCTGTTATGAATTTGGATTTTACTTTGAAGAAGTCACAGGGGGAGGGGTGGTGAGGGGGGGTTAGGGAGGAGGGGGGAGAAAAAAGGGGGAAAATTTGTATTTGAAAAACTTTTTCAATAAAAAAAGAATGAAATTTTATAGAAATATATCTAATATCAATTATGGAAATTAGTTAAGAACGGAAGCTGATAATCTAAAAGTTGTATGTGTGTGCATGTAATGTATAGTACTGGAAAGCAACTGATTTTCTATTATGTTTGGAAATGTCAATAGCTTTTTGGAAACCTGCCTTTTCAAGAGATTTTGGTGGGTGGGTAATAGACTAAAAAAATCCCAATTTTTTATTTCCCTTGCTATGGCATACTTAAGGAATAGTATAGCACAATTGAAAGAAAAGTAATAATAATGGTCATACACGTTACCTGAAAGTGTAAATCTTCATTGGTTTTTGAAGGATTGTTAAAGGCATTTTCATTTATGGTTAAAGAAGAAGGCTTGCTACTTTCTACAACATGGCATCTTAACCTGAAACAGAAAGCAATTATTTTGAGTTCACTTCTGCAGAATTATAGTTGTTTATTCCCTGGGTTTCCATGTTTTTTATCTTAATGTTTTTCATATTTTATGTTTTTACATGTTTCTCCTTATACCCTGGCATTAAAATCAAAGAGAAGAACATCCAGAAAACCACTGCATGAACAAAATGACACAGAACCAGTATACCATGCAGGACATGGGAATGGGGCAGGACACAGCACAAAATAGAAATATTCCTTTTGTAAAGGAATGTACTTGATGAATATAAACTCAAATATAAAACATATGTACATATATAAAGTGTGAGCAAAACAAACTGACGAGGTGAAAATAATTGAATTTTCTTGGCTTCTCTTTTCTACAGTGTAGACATTGAAATGCAGTAAGAACAGACAAGACAAAAAGGAAACTGCAGAATGTTTATTGACAGGATATACTTGTACATGGAAATATCTCCCTTCCCAAAAGTTTAGCTGAGCCAAGAAAAAGACCACCTTTTTTCCTTTTGAACTGTTTATAGCTCTAGCCACAGTTTTGTCTTTTGTTTAGCAATTTACACGTTTGGTTTTATGCAAAACTAGCTTTGCAATATTTAGCCAACTTTCACAGGTCTCAGAAGGTAAGTAAGATCTAGACTGGTTAATACCTGAGTAACCAGGAAATTTTAAGTTTGACTGAGAAGAAAACATTCTGGAAGAAGGTATATAATGATGTCAATTTGAAAGTCAATATAAAATGTTTACCTATGCTCCATCACTTTGTTTCTAGGAATTTCTTTCCAAAATTGAGATAGTTCCTGTGCTCCTGTTCCAGAGCACTGTTCCATTTCTGCTGCCATAATTAGAAAACGGTCTTGCAAAGAAGCAGCACAACCTATTCAACCAACAGACAGCTTAATAAAAATTATTGTATTTCATTTAGATATAATCAATAGCCCATAAGGGGAAATATTACATTTTAATAGATGTGTACATACTATGTACTACACAGTTAATTTACTACAACAAATGTAGCACAGCAAATAATGAACACAAATGTGCAACTCCCCAATTTCACAAAACTCTTGAGAAGAATAGAAGATGAAAAGAAAAAAATGTGGAGACTTTATGGACTCTAAACTTGACAATGTGTTTAGCCAAGTGCAAAACTTCAGAAAGAATATTCTGAATGGATGATCTTACAAGACTGATGGACAATAAAATAACTTATGTTCAAAATTTTTAAGTTAATTGAAATATAAATACACTGCTCAAAAAAATAAAGGGAACACAAGCAGAAGACATCCGAGATCTGAATGAATGAAATAGCCTTATTAAATACTTTGTTCGTTACATACAGTAGTTTTGTGTTCCCTTTAGTTGTTTGAGCAGTGTATAAACTACTGTATGTAAAGAACAAAGTATTTAATAAGGCTATTTCATTCATTCAGATCTCGGATGTCTTCTGCTTGTGTTCCCTTTATTTTTTTGAGCAGTATATTTTCAATGTAGAAATCTACTTAGAACAAATATAACTGGGGTTAAACTGGATTATTTTATTTATTTTGCTATTCTAATGTCCTAAATAATTTTTAATCACTAAGATACACATGTTTTATATTTTAAATTTATCCATGAGAAAGTCATGTGAAATGCTTTAAACTAAAATCAAGTTACTATAAATTTTAAAAATGATCAGGGCATATTTGCACACAAATATTTTATATTTTTATATAGTATTTGGCAATGGAGGATATTTAAAAATATTAATCAGCATTAGCATAATTTAATAAACTCTGTAGGGTACAACAGAGAAAATTTATTTCTCTAAGCTTAATGTTTTTCAAATTTCAAATTGTTTTAAATAGCTCATAACTTGAAAATGCATGAAAAATTAATGGTTTATTTTTATGAATTTGGAAAAACTTCAGATATATTTTAAGAAAGGTATTAGAAGACAGTAATGTGTAAGTAAAAAGACTGAGAATTTAGATTTTACCATTTTGTGACTATTTTATTTCAAGATTAGGAGCAGTTCTGATGCTCCTTCTCCTGTCCAAACAAACATAATACAGGAATAATTGAACTAATTATTTTAATTAAGGCAGAATTTAAAAGCTACCATTTAAGTTTAAATATATGATCTGATTTCAACAGCACCTTCTTTCCAGAACTTGTACAAAAATTATCAACCTTCTCAAGGCAAAGTATATTAGACAATGACTGCATTCTATGTGTAGATAGTAATGCAATTTGTTACTTACCCCCATGAAGAGATACAACAATATCTACTGAAATACCAGGTTCACAACTGCTGTTACTTGGTTTTACTCTGTACTTGTCAGGAGCAGTTGTTCTCACCTATATGAAGGACATTCACATTAAGAACAGTTCTCCCATAAACCATTTTATATCTGAAACCTATTTCTATTTTTAAGGAAGCCGTGCAATTCAATTTTGATTTTTTTCATGTCTTTATAAGGAATGAAGCAAATATTTTAGGAATACTTTTAAAACATGAATTTTGTAGTTTAATATTCAGTTAATTGTAATGTAACCTGTTTAGCTCTGTGGTTTATAAGCTCCCCATTGTCTTAAGACCAACAAAACTCAGTGCAAGAAAATAAACCATCTCTTTCCATAGCACTCATTTAGTTTTCCTTGAAATGTACCATCATGACAAAAAGATAATACTTGCCCCCTTCAGCCCAAAGGGTTCGTCCAACTAGGGACTATTACTCAGGTAACCTGAATCTTTACTGATGAATATAGAACCACCTAGGGAACTACAGAGAAAAATCAGATTTCTGAACCCCATTACAAGATATTTTTTAAAAGCAAACATGTAAATATATATTAATATGCTGCCTATCTACCATCTAAATAAGTTAAACATAAAAACTGTATTATTTACCTTAAATGCCACAGCATTTTTAGTAACATTTGTCAGAACTATCAAACATTTCTTCTCTGCAGTTTCTTTGGACCCAAAATGCAATTCCTCTGCCGGACTATTGAAAAACATAACATTTTCTACAATAACTATTTGAAAAGATTGCAGACATACATTATTTTCTTTAAAATAGTTAAGAAATTTATTTAAAACAATTATACGTGATTTATCAGGCTCAAAGATAATACTTCAAAAGCTTTAAATTTTAAGGAATATGTTGAAGGCTTTTAACAATACTTCAGGTAATTTTTTACAATACACAGTATAATGTGCAATGGAGATGAAATTCTACTTTGCATTCCAAAATATGAAACATTGTTAAAATAATGCAACATTTGAAAACATGCATTATTTGAAAAAATACAACTGGACTCCAATGAATCGAGGACAAAGCAATCATAATATTTAGAACAAGTAACAAAAAGTCTTCTCAAGTTTGTTTGGTTTTTGTTTTGTTTTGTTTTGTTTTGAAGTCTCCTGTCCTGTGCTTCATAATATGGTCAGTATCTTGCTGAACAAGAATGATGGATGTTATACTTTGATATATTAGTGTGCCTTATTGGAAAAGGCTAGCCCATTAGCTTTAGTATAGCAGCAGCTCTTCAAAGTCTTTCCCTGTCCCATGAAATAAATGTTAGAAAAAGTAGAAAAGAACTTGAATTGAAGATGTTGAAATTGATCTTCAACATCTGAAGTTAAATTACTTTTTTCATATCATCTGCCAGTCTATAGCAAAAATACTGGTAATTTGCATACTGAACCTATTGGCTTTAAAAATATACCTTATATGGGAGCAAGGAATTTGCAATAATAAGATTTATAATGTATTTAATTTAAATGTAACTGTCCATGCCATCTTAGAAATGGCTGCCTAAACTTGTTATATTTAAAAAATGAATTCTCGTTCAGTAAACACAAACCCATACTTTGTAACACAGTGTTATTAGAATAATTTTTCACATTAGTTTTTATAAAGGACTACAAAAAGCTTATAGAAAGTGAGGCATAATTACATTTTTTTGTTCCAAACTGGGAAAATGTTTTGCCACCCAGCCTTCAGAGGCTGTTCTGTCCAAAATAACCTACTTCTTCAATTGAGGCTGTGCTGCTATTAAAACATGTAAAAGTCTACAATGTGAAGGTGATTATTACTGTCTTTTACCTGATATGCAATAAAGATCCTTTAAAAGTGGTAAGTGCTTTCTTGGCATTTTTTGTTTTAGAATCTAATTTGTCACACTCTTCTGATTTTGGAGTTTGTTCTGAAGTATTTCCCTAAGCAAGCAAACAAAAACAGCAGCTATGTATATTCAGGATTAATTATTTTGTACAATAGAATAGAATGGTACAACTACATTTTCAGCTACTGAATTACAGTACATCAAAAATAAGAATACCAAATGTAAATAGGATCATATAATAGAGAGAGGAGGAGGCGGGGGGAGAAAAATGTAGGATATATAGTCTATCCTACTATGTACTGATGTATGTTTCAAACACTGCAAAATTTTATAGAAATAATTATCTTTTTCACAATCTTGAAAAAATCTGGTTGTACTTGGTATTGTAAGTAACATATTATGTATTCTAAACCTTCAAAACAAAGATGACATTCCTATACACAATGGGAATTCTTTAGAAAAATTGTTACCATTAGCATTGATAAATAATTGTTACTCTCACTTTCTTTTCAAAAAGAAGTTGATCATTTATATTTTGAGTATCATGATGGTTTTACATGAATCTTGTACAGCTACACATGGACAATTTTGTTTAATGTACTTCAGAAAGCATTTTATAAAGCTGGAAAAGACTTGCCAAAATGATCAGAAGATTAGCATAATCTGGAAAGGGTACAAAATTTAGGTACTATTTCATTTTTTTTAAAATACAAAATTTTAGTATATATATATAAATCCAGGGTCATCCAACAAGAACAGTGGAGAGAAAAGACAATAAAATGTACAGAATTTTGTATGTACATAACCTTTGATGGAGGCTACAACTTTAGCTTTGAGGAGGGGGTAAAAAGATTGATATAAGATAAGGCCACTGATACCTATTAGTTATGCATGACTGACTTTTTTTCTGAAAATATGACAAGCAACAAGAGCAGAAAATAGTATAGTATAGCTTTTTATGTCTTGTGCCTTGTTAAGTTTATACACGGCTATTTTAGGACACAAATTTTGGTCTAATATAGCCCTTTTTAAGATAAATTACTGCTACAATTGCTATATTTTTCTTTATTTTAATGGAATACTGAGTACAATATGTTAGATTGGTCTCACCATCCTTGCTTTGAATTACTAGCAATGGTAGGTGGATTTTGATGATAAGAAGGCATAAGCAAAAAATGACTGCAGTTTTATATATCTTACATCTAACCATTTGTACATTTAAATGAAACTAGTGAACATGTAAAAGTTAAAATTTTGGCAGATAGTAAAGGGATAGTAAAGTGGCAAAATAGTCCGTACATCTTTCATGGGCCTTGGGGAAGCTAAAGATTTCATGCGCTGGTCAAGGCTTTCAAATTCAGTGTCATCTTTACTTTCCAACATAATACTATACTTTGTTAATTAATGAACATATATGAATATGTATGGAAGGAAATTTAAAGTATTGCAGTAGAATATTTCCTGTAGTGGTTAGTATACTTTGACCTATGAACTAATGAAAGCCAGAGAGAATAGTTATCTGTCTCCATGATCGTAAGTAAAAATCACATTAAAGTGTGATGGAATATATTTGAAGCCAAATGCCCAAACTATACTTTGATGGGTGGAAAGGCTGGTTTATCAAAGAGAAAACAAAAGCAGCAGCACAGTTAATCCTCCATAATAGCCCATGCGTTGCATGGTAAGAAATACAGGTAGTCCTTGACTTACAACCATTCATTTAACAGCCGTTTTAAGTTACAACACTGAAAAAAGTTACTTATGACCATTTTTCATACTTACAACTGTTGCAGAATCCCCATGGTCACACGATCTAAATTTGGGTGTTTTGCATGTATTCATGATGGTTGAACTGTCCTAGGGTCATGTGATCTATCTGTAACCTTCCCAGCTGGCTTTCAGCAAGAATAGTCAATAGGGGAAGCTGTATTCACTTAATGACTGCATGATTCACTTAACAACTGCAATAATTTGCTTAACAATTATGGCAAAAAGGGGCATAAAATAGGGCAAAACTCAACAACTGCCTTGCTGAGCAACAGAAATTTTGGGTCAATTGTGGTCAGAAGTTGAATAAAGTACATATAGATGAAATAAAGTGGGGACAAAGAGATGGCAAAGATTTTCAGCACATAGTCTTGATATGGATAGGACTGTCAATTTACTGAGATAAAGAAATAAATGTAATAATGTGTAAGCATACACACACCAGTTTAGGTTCTAAATGTAGAAATTAGATGTCACTTTATGAATACTTCGGAGGACAGGACTGCAGCTTAAGTTCCAGTCAGTATTGATAGGAATACAGGGCGTTTTAACTAAAAGATTCTGATTATGCTAGATTGTCTTTCCTTAGGTTAAGTAGAAATATGAATCTTGGAATAGCTCGAGTTTCAATACTACTTTATTTTAATCTATATTTTACATGTGGGCAACAATTTTGAATTGGGACCAACATTTCAACTGTTCATGGGCATAAAACAGTGTCACATGACTGCCTCACTTAGCAACAGCAGTCCTGAGAATTCCAGTTGTCACTGTAGTTGGAAAACTGCATGGGTCATTAAGTGAGTACTTCACACAACTTCTTATAAGAGACAAAAGAATCAAAGTTATGTATCAGAAAGTGAAGCAGAAAACTGAAATTCCACATCAGAACAAAAATGTATTCCTCAGATGAAATTTGGCAGGAATTAAAATTGACTGTCTGCAGTTTGTTTATAACATGGACTTTAGATTCTGACAGCAAAATATAATGGTCAAATACTTCTTAGGCATTTTTATTAGGTATTGCAAATTAACAGTAACATGGGAAATACAGACATGAAACAGTGAGAGATGTCATTCTCTTATGTAGCCTTCAGTTGAGGGATACCTTTTTTGAATTGAGTGCTTGGTCTTCAGTAGTGTCTAAGTTGTCTTTGTTATTGGTGTCTACTTCTTTGCATTCAGCTTCATCTTCACTAGTAATAGGTCCGTTTTCACATAATGGAGTTTGGAAATCATCATCAACTAATGGAGGATAACTGTATTTGAAAGCATCCTATAACAAAAAGTAACAAATACATTATTTGTGGCTATGAAAGTCAAGACTTGTGGGTGGACAGAATATGAAATTTTATAGAAAAGAAACTGGATTCAATTAGAAACAATCCCAAAAGTGATGTGGGTGGAACAGTCAACTTGATTCGCTCTTTAAGTGGTTCCATTTCAACTGAACAGTTTTTGATGCAGCAGAAGCTGAAATTGTTTGCTTGTTCTGGTTTTCATAAATCTAGAATCTACAAGATTCTGAGGATTTGGTGGACTACCAAATGACAGAAAAATCTCTCTTTGCTGCTAACACTGGAAAGGAAGTGCTAGACTCTTTAGAACCCTGACTGAGTGTTTAAAGGAACATATACCTTCCACCAACAGCATTTTGAGGGAAAGACCAGCGAAGCCCTTAGTAAGCTGTCCTGAGAAATTGGCAAGCTTGAGAATGGGTTGAATTGTGGGCTGCAGTTTCTATCCGATAAAAGATTTGATCCTAAGAAATACACTACGATTGCCAGCACTATTTCCTGGTGACAACTACAGATTTAAACTGCAATGAAATACCACATCTGAATACTTTCTCCCCATTTGGAGAATCATACTTTCAGATTCCTTCCAAAGTAGCCATTCCTAGTGCTGAATCTGTAAAGAATAAAGGATATGGACATGCAGGTTTTGGAGGGATTTGTACATCCCTAACACACAATGACTGAATATTTCAACCATCATTAGTCTTCTATCTTTTCTTATGCAAATATGAAATCCTGTAATAATCACAAATGATATTTGAAAAATATCCATATAGGGGCTTACAAAACATGACCTTGGAGCTGGCTAATTTAATTCATTATTGTTAGCCCTGCAGCTAGCTAATTAAGGCTTTTTTTAAAAAAACGTAAATCAGAGAAAGCATTCGTAGACATAAAAAAATAGAAAATTATAAAGATTGAACAAAATGTTTGTTTTCCCATTAATGACTGTAATTCAATATCAAATATATTGAGTGAATATACCAGAAAAGTAATAATTCCTTTATTGTAGTTATTAATAGTCTTCTCATACACATTATAATAATTGCACAATTGCATACTTACAGTCCCACCCATATAAGGTGGTAGGTATTCAGCAGTTATGTACTCCTGGATTTCATTCTTATTGGTCAACTTCAACAAGGTGGCTGCTTCTGGACCCAGCCAATTTTTTACAATTTTAAAAGCAGCTAGATTAAAGAGACAGGAATAATCACGATAGTAAAAGCTTTTTCCAACCTATTTTTATTAATATGAGATATAATGCAAATTCACTTCAGATTAGTGCCATTACTTAAAATGGGAATCATATAAAATAACTTAACAGAGTCCCATGTTTCGGAAAACATGTTCAGAATCGACTGGAACATAGGTAAATTTAATTAAATAATTTTTAAGTGACTTTTGATGCCTCAGATAAAATAAACATAGAAATCTAAATATATGCTTTTAATTCAACTGTTAATCATAAGAATATCCCTACCACTAATGAATTCAAAAATCTTTGAAGAAATATTAACTTCTACAGTTTTAAAGATACTCTCTAAAGATAATTTAAAATTGCAACTCACCATTCATTACCCAAGGCAATTCAAAAATCACAATTTTTGCTGCAAGAACAAAAAAAGAGTTTTTATTTATCTATTATTTATTCATAAAATTTATTTGCTGCCCATCTCGTATCCAACAACTCTGGGAGGCTTTTGTTTCCATGAACTTATTACAGTAAATGTGCTTTGATAATTTTTAACTGCTACATTTTTTTCAATTCTCTCTTCAGAGAGATTATTTTAATAATTCTTATTTTTTTAAAAAAAAAAAAGATTAGTTTTTTTTAAATGTATTTCCTGGAACTATGGAGTGGTATAAACAATGCCTTTAGCTAAAATTAGCTTTTTTTCTTGGTGGGTCTGGCTCCTGAATCTTAAGGATGAAATTAAATCAATCTGGTTAAAAAAAGTTAAACTTTAATCCAAGGGGCTCTCATTGAAAATGAAAATGTCAGAAGTTTTCTTCAGCAGCATATCTATAACACTATTCTTCAACTCAATCATCTGCAGCATATGGAATCTTCCAAACTGATATAATACGTGCTAATTTCTTACCTCTCTTCTCTCACAGGCCAGAACTTTTTCTGGTTATTCTGACTAGGCCAGATCCACTGCCTTCTGTCATGCTCTTCGAACATTGCAAAAATATTCCTATACGTCAGCATAGATGTCCTCGGAGGACAGCTCAGTAGTCTAGTCCTTGAGGTATACCTGTATGACAAAATCGCTCAGATCCGGCGGGTTTTGGACTCTGACTGGGTAGATCAGGGCAGAGTGACGAGGAATAGTCTTGAGAATGTTATTTGGGAGGAGTCTGACGCTGTGACTCCCGATGATGTGGACAGGATTTTGGGGAGACTTAGTGCAGCCACATGTTTACTGGACCCGTGTCCCTCCTGGTTGGTACTGGCTTCCCGGGAGGTTACACGAGGCTGGCTCCAGGGTGTTATCAACGCTTCACTGAGTGAGGGCCACTTTCCCGCTGCCTTGAAAGAGGCGGTGGTGAGGCCTCTCCTCAAGAAGCCATCCCTGGATCCGGCAATATTGGCCAACTATTGTCCTGTCTCCAACCTTCGCTTTATGGCGAAGGTTGTTGAGAGTGTGGTCGCGCGACAGTTCCCACAATTTCTGGAGGAAACATCTTATCTAGATCCGTTCCAGTCAGGTTTCAGGTCTGGGCACAGCACGGAAACGGCATTGGTCGCATTGGTTGATGATCTCTGGAGGGCTCGGGACAGGGGTTGCTCCTCTGTTCTGGTCCTGTTAGATCTCTCAGCGGCTTTTGATACCATCGACCATGGTATCATGCTGCACCGGCTGGAAGAGTTGGGGGTGGGAGGCACCGTGTTGCGGTGGTTCTCCTCCTTTCTCTCCGACCGGTCGCAGTTTGTGTTGGCAGAGGGGCAGAGGTCGACCTCGAGGCCTCTTATCTGTGGAGTGCCGCAGGGATCGGTCCTCTCGCACCTTCTGTTCAACATTTATGTAAAGCCGCTGGGCGAGATCATCCGTGGCTTTGGGGTGAGATACCACCAGTACGCTGATGACACCCAGCTGTACATCTCCACCCCAGGCCACCCCAATGATGCCCTTGAAGTGATGTCCCAGTGCCTGGAGGCTGTGCGGATCTGGATGGGGAGGAACAGGCTCAAGCTCAACCCTTCCAAGACTGAGTGGCTGTGGCTCCCGGCATCCCGATATAGTCAGTTGACTCCATCACTGACTATTGGGGGAGAGTCTTTGGCCCCCACAGAAGGGGCTCACAATCTGGGAGTCCTCCTGGATAGGCAGCTGTCCTTGGAGGAACATCTGACAGCTGTAACCAGGGGGACCTTTTGTCAGGTTCGCCTGATTCGCCAGTTGCGGCCCTTTCTTGATCGGGATTCCCTGTGCACAGTCACTCATGCCCTTGTCACCTCTCGCCTTGACTACTGCAATGCTCTCTACATGGGGCTCCCCTTGAAGAGCACCCGGAGGCTCCAACTGGTCCAGAATGCAGCAGCGCGGGTAGTGATGGGAGCAGCATGGCGCTCCCATATAACACCGCTCCTGTGCGAGCTGCACTGGCTCCCAGTGGTCTTCCGGGTGCGCTTCAAGGTGCTGGTTATCACCTTTAAAGCGCTCCATGGCATCGGGCCTAGCTATCTTCGAGACCGCCTGCTGCTACCAACGACCTCCCATCGTCCCGTGCGCTCCCACAGAGAGGGCCTCCTCAGGGTGCCATCAGCCAATCAATGCAGGCTGGTGACCCCCAGGAGGAGGGCCTTCTCTGTGGGGGCACCTACCCTCTGGAATCAGTTGCCCCCAGAGATAAGGAGAATCTTAGCACCTTCCGCCGTGCCCTTAAAACCCACTTTTTCCAGCAAGCCAGGCTGGCTTAAGAAGAAATTTTAAATGTTTTAATTGGTTTGTATTTTTAATTTTGGGCCAAATTTATATATATTTTAATTGTTTTTAATATTTGTATTTCATGTTTTTTAATTCTGGCTGTACACCGCCCTGAGTCCTCAGGGAGAAGGGCAGTATATAAATTTAAAAATAAAATAAAATAAATATGCTTCTCTTTGCTCTTTATACAGGGAATCGTAGATAACATTTATCCATCCTATCCTAAAGAAATTATCTGACAAAGAGGATGGCTTCTATCTGTCATTTCTCCCATCTGATCGTTATTTGGTGCTAACATCCTGGGTTGCCCAATTTGATTGTATGTCTCTGCTTGTGACTGAAAACTTCTTTTTGGCTTCATTTTTTTCTATTTTATCTATATTTCAGCCACCACATTGGTGGCTTTAAGCCCTTCAGAAAGATTTGATTTGATATGGATGGCTTCATACTTACTGAGAAAATTAGGATAATATACTTTAAAACAGCTAATGATATACCGGACAAAATCAAAGTCCTAAAATAAAAACAGATTATTTTTATTATTATTAAGTCAGCAGATATTTTGCTTAGAAATCACCCTTAAAGGTACAGAGTATTTTAGAAGTGAGTTAAGAGTTTCAAGCATTTTTTTGTACCAAATAATATAGAATATTGTATTTCCTTACTAGAAAAAATATTCAAAGGTTAAATCTTAAGTTTGCAAAGTTTATATACACTGAAGCAATCTGTTCAAACTGCCTATAATGTTAACTGGGTGTGCAGTTTTAATAAAATCCTCTCAGAGTTTTTATTAGTTGCAATGAGAACAAAAACCATGTGGCATCCTGCATGCACTCTCATGAGGTTCTTTCCTGACTTGTCACAAGAAAACACTTGATTGCTTCATCAGAAGACTGATATAAATGCATTTTCCCCAATAGCTATATAATGCTGAGTTGCTGTTAGGTCTTAAATAGCTTTCCATGGGACTTTGCAAACCAGCATACATTATTACATAATTTTCTCTTATTAAGTAAATAGAATACTTATGCTAGCTTTTATTAAAGAGCAAACTTTGTGATTAATGAGCCAGTCAATCCAGAATACTTAAGATGTATCCCAAGGAGCAAATAATTAATTTAAATTCCAGTACTCTACCTAGAGGATTATCTAAGGCTGTTCTGTATAAATTAAATTTTCAAGCCACAATAATATGAAATAATTTAAAAAATGCTTACGATATTACTCAGTCCAGTGTCAGCCATGTCGAACACCACTGTCAATGGCTTTCCATTTTCTCTTTTTGCATAGCGCTCTAACCAAAAGGCTACTAGTTTCTTTTTTTCAAATTGTGTTTTAGAATCTTTTGTATGTAATTTCACTCGGAACCAAACTAATGTGGGGAGGGGAAAATACATATAAATGTGTCAAAAAGGTAAGAACAGCTTTCAGGCTATCTCTAAATGAAGATACTATTTGTTTGTTTTTTAACATGTATGTTTTCTTTTTTTCATATGTCTCTGTAACTTCTTTATTCTTTTAATTTAAAATTTTAGAAGATAAAACATTACAAATCAAAAATATTTTATTCAAAAATCAGGTAAAATTAATTTTTCTTTACTAGTGTGACATTAAAAATCAGTGTTACTGAATTAAAAACAACAATTCAATGTGGATGATTGACGAATATAATGTCCAAATATAATTGTCTATTTTAAATTGCACAGTATCTGCTATACACCTTAAAATAAGGCCAGAAGACCTTTGAAAATTGCTATTTGATTATGTACCACTACTTCAGAAAAATTCTGTATGTTTGATCCTTTTAACAACAATATTTTATCACATACTATACCAGTGATGGCTAACCTTTTTGCTGTTGCGTGCCAAAAGCAGGGGGAGCGTGGGGGGTCGCGCATACCCACACCCATAATTCAATGCACCCTGGCCCCCACGCATGACCCCCCCATGCTCCCCCCGCCTTTGCCACACGATGGCACAGTGGGCCCGGTAAACCCGTTTTTCGCCCTCCACAGGTTCCAGAGGCTTTCTTGGAGCACGGGGAGGGCGAAAACAGCCTTCCCCACCCCTTGGAGGCCCTCCAGAGGCCGGAAACAGCCGTTTCCCAACTTCCGCTCCCACCAGAAGTCAGAAAACGGGCTGTTCCGGCCTCCAGAGGGGTGGGAAAGGCCGTTTTCGCCCTCCCCAGGCTCCTAGAAAGGCTCTGGAGCCTGGGGAGAGCGAAAAACGGGCCTTTCTCACCCCCCTGGAGGCTGGAAACAGCCTGTTTCCCGACTTCCGGTGGATCCGAAAATCAGCTGGCCGGCGTGCGCATGCATGCTGGAGCTGAGCTAGGGCAACCCTCGCGTGCCCACCGATATGGCTCTGCGTGCCACCTGTGGCACATGTGCCATAGGTTCGCCATCATGGCACTATACTATCACTTTCCAGTAAGTATTTTGGTTCACATTTCAATCTAAGTGTAACAATTTCTGCACTTTTTAGATATTCCAATTACTATAAAGGCTATTCATTCTAAATTAAAAATATACACCTTAACATCTAAAATGTCTAAAATTATGCTCCTCTAGCATCTTATAAAAGTATAGATTTCAGAGACAACCATGCTGGACTCCACAAATGTTCAGAAGCTCAAATTAATTGAGTTTGTCCAGAATGCAGTCTACCCTTTTTATATTCATCAAATAAAATTGCTAACACTGCAGTGACAATATGGCTCTAATGCAAATCAAATTTAATGAGAGTAATTATTTATTTTCACTGAATTGGATTGTAATAACCAGGTCTGAAGTAGGAAGACTGAAAACAGACAGAAATTTAATCAGAACAAGGATCTTTGTATACAAGCCTCAAAAAGCAGCATTATGCATGGAAAATCTATAGACCTCTGAATCCACTTTTATGTGATGGCGACAGTCTGTTACATTTTTTATCACTTCTTGTGATAGATTTCTTGTACAAAAAATTATTTTGTACACAATATAGCCTCTTGAATTGCAAATGAAATCACAATCCTTCCAAAAATACCAAATAAACATCAATTCAATCCACAATCTAGCCCAATTCATTCTGAATTATCACTCAAATCATTACAGCCCTCAATTCAAAACAATTACTGAACATATTCATACATAATCATCCATGGTTTATTTCATTATTGTTTATTGAATAAACCACAATTCGATTTATTTTTAAGCCAAGATCCAAGAAACCATATTATGGCTTAGTGAACAAAAGGTTTAACTCTGAACTAGATAGAATAGGGGAAAAAAACATTAGCACTTTCAAATTTAAAATGAAATCTAAAATATGTTATGTTATAGTTATATCACCTCTAACTTAAATATAGTATTACTTAAAGCTCTATTTTTATACCTGTTATTAAACTAAAAAATGCAATTGTTTTTTTAATAGATATATACAGATTGCATTGCTCCTCTTAAATGTCAGAAGTTGTAAGCAATTTTAAATGTATATCAGTACTAAAGAAATACATGGGTTTTGTTAGATACCTCCACCACCAATGTCACTGATTTCAGTGACTTTATACCAATCCCTGTATTACTTTAAATTCTTCATTCTGATTGCATTTGTATAAATGAATAAGTAAATAAAATTGTAAATTTGACTTACATATTTTATAGCCCTCCTTATCATAACCATGTAGGTAAATAGCACCAACATCAAGTATCAATTTTGGAAAAGAAGATTCAGTCAAATCTGAAGAAAACAGTCTTGTTTTATTATTACAATAATTATTTTAGTATATCAAATACTGTAACAGCAATCTAAAATCTTAAATAAAAAGGGAAAATAAAATTGCTATTTTTTAATCCAAAGAAAAGAAAATGTTATATTTATATTTTAGACCAAAGGGTAATAGTTACAACTTAAAGGGTAATGCCAAATTTAGATACAAATTTTTAAATCTAAAATGGAGTTTAAAATATTAGTTCAAAGTTAATTATATAATTATTCTTATTCTCATGTAATAGCAGAACCTCTGACAATTAAGGAATTAGGCAACTACATTGAAAATCTGCAAGCAGAGTTCATGGTTTGATTCTTGGACACTGCACAAAGACTACTGTGAATTAGATCAACAGTCCCCAAGCTTTTTGGCTTTAGGGACTGGTGGTGACAGGGGGGAGGGGGAGAAGGGATGATTCTGTGCGAGCAGCGGGTGAATATGTGCAACTCATTCTTAGCAACAAGCAGTCCTGGTTGCTGTTGTTAAATGAGGGCCATGCAGGTTGTTCAGCAAACACCTCACAGGATTATGATTTCAAACTTCCTGCCAGTTTCCCCAATGACTTTACATGTAGAAAGCTGGTGGGGAATGTAAGAAATCGCAATCATGTGACTGCTGGGATGCTACAATGGTTGGAATTACAAAGATCTGTCATAAGTACCATTTAATCAGCATCATGTAACTTTGAATAGTTTGAACTTTGAACCTGAGACTACCCATATAAACATAACATTTAATAAATATATTTATTAAATTTGTATGCCATTCATCTGATTAGTTATACCCAGCCTTGAAATACCTAGTTTCATTTTGTTCCAGTTTAGAATACAATTTCCTCTGGCAACAGTTACTTTCAGCTGTTTCTTATATTTTTTTTATCAAATGCATATCAAAACATTTTTCAAAATGATGAGATATCTTACCATGAACTGCATACTCTTTCCTCCACTGAAAGCTTTCATCAATCATCTTCAGTGTATCATCCACAATATCATCTCGCCATATTAAGAAATTATCAACCCAGATATCATCTTGATGCAATCTTTCTATATCTCTGGAATCATATTTATCTCTTTTTGCTAATCAATATGAATAGAAGTTAGTTATTTAATATGTTCTCATAAAAACTGGGTCATAAAGAATATATTTAAAAGAAGTATTTGTAGCAAGCTAGTATTTAATTTATAAAATAATTAAACAAAATATATATCCTTTTTCTTGACTTATGGATGTAAACCCCCCTCCCCAAAATTGCGAATGAGTTCTAACCAATTTTCAAGTCCTTGAATATTTCAAACCTAAATGCCTGAAGAGGAAATGCTTTTTCAAAATCATATTTGAGCTAGCAGTAAAAATGCAGCCTAGCCTTTCTGCTATTGAGAGGCTGCACAACTGAACTGGAAAATCATATTTTTGATTAACCATAGAACTTTCTAAGTTTGGCTATCCATATGATTCTGTTTTTTTTTTTATCAAAGAACCCATATTCTGTGAAAACCTAGGCAAGAGCATAAATTCAATATGAAAAGGTTAAATTTATAATAGGGTAGTGTTAAGTGTTGTTTGTAACCACAATCAGTGTATATTTTTTATTATAATTGTATAGTATGGACAGGTCAATAATGCTTCCTTACTCTGCATCTGGTTTTTATCTTTAGATTACAGATAAGTAGTATTATAAGCATGAAAGAAAATGAAGCTGACTCAAGGAGCATCATGATGTAATGGGAAGATTGTTACAATAAACAAATTTCATTGGGAGTATATGAAGAGATAAGTGGAACCAAATGTTTACCTCTTAAAAACTTTAATCATGAGGATTTTCAAACTTAAAACTGTAGTCATTCACACAATCTTTAGTAGTCACAGAATACAAATATAAAGAAATTAAGTTATGTACCTCTGTCAATCAATATGTTTTCTTTCCTATTACAGTCAATCTGTAATGTTATAAATGTACAGGATAAACTATAGTATGAACAGAATATTCATATTACCAACCTGATAAATATTCTGTCTCAAAACGTTGTCTGATTTCACTTATTAACGGGCCCCTGTTACCCTGCTGAGAAAGAACACGAACTCATCAATACATTAAACATTTTTATTTTTAGGTTGAGCAAACTTCACACTTTTTCAGTCTACTATACTTTGGTTTTCTACTGTACTTCAAGTTCAAGTAATAAGTGCTAAGTAAGCAGAGTTTCTAAGCACATGCAGAGCTCAGGAATGTGTTCTGTTATTATAAAAAATTCATGCATAGGGCGGGTTGTTTCATTTGAGAGTCATTCTACTATTGTTACTACCAGAATTACAAGTCCTAGAGGACAGAACTATTACAACTCATTCTGTAAACTGGGTTCTGCAAGAGGTCTAAACACATTCCTCTTATAAATAAATTTGAATCTCTGCTTAAAAGTCAGTTTTAAGCCAAAGTTTCTTTGGTTGGCTTCCTCAAAAAGGAATACCTGGGGCCCACTGTTCTTTGCAAGAATGAGTTAACTTTTTAAGCACATCTGGGAAAGGAAGGGGGGACACTCTGCACCAGTTTCACAGGATCAGATAGTCAATTGTCCCTATGAATGAGCCTCTCTCTATACCTGTGTACAATTGATCGTTTCTGACCAGTATGGTCACAGGTTGTGGGAAGAAGAATTGTTCCTCAGCACAGTCTGTAGAAACCTGTACTAAATTATCTTCTCTGAAGAGCTGCTTTACTAGACTCTAAAAAGAGGATGCTGTCTTCTTATCTCAGCCATACTCTACTATATTTGAATTTTATTTTATTTATATCCTGCCTTTCTGTTTTACCCATCTCTACAAATGAATTCATCGCATTCCGCTCTCCCTAGGAGGGGAAAATACGAAGAGTATTCTTTTCCACCTCTTGTGGTCTATCTTCCAGACTGCCTATCCTCAAGGGCACGCAGCTACTCACATCCGCCATGGTCCTGCTCACACAAGATTAGGAGCCGCAGCAAGGCGAGCGAGAAAAAGGGAAGAAACTCACGAACCAAAAGCAAAGGGCGCGTGACCCAGACTGAAGTAAGAATTGACACCAGCCGGCGCCGGGCACCTTCGGCGACAACCGCCGCACAACAGGCGTTGCTGCCAGCCAATCCCCGTCCTTCCCTTCAGCAACAGCCGCCCTCTAAAAGAAAAAAAAAAAACAGCGAAGAAAGTTCCCACCCTCTATTTCCACATCCTTTCAAAGCGCGTCCAGCCCTTTCCTTGCGCAATTCCGCTGTCTGCTAATTGGTTGCGTTGGCGTCTCCTCAGGGAATTGGCGTCTTGACGCTCTACAATTTGCGAAACAGGAAACAGCCAAGAATCAGGCCCTTTCAATCCGCCCCTTGGGTGGCGGGCTCTGATGGATGGCAGAGTGGTTTCGGGTTTCGGGTTTCGAGAAGGTCGGCGCAAAGCCTTACTACATTGCCTATGAAAGGGATGAACGCACGATGGTGAAAAAGTAATTGCGTGGTATGTTTTAATACATTTTTGTACTGCCATGCCCTGCTACATTCTGCTGCACGTCCAAGTCTTCGATTGGGAAGATGGGATCCAGATCCTAAGCACAGGAGGTGGGTGGGTAAAACCATTTTGTAGCCTGGATTATCAAGAGGAGGGTGTCCCTAGTAGCAGCCGCCAGCTTGTCATGGAATCTAGGATTTAAGCATCACAATGTAGTATGAAATCTCTTCAGCAGGATCTCAGCCCACAAAGAAAAAAGCAAGTTGAAGCACAGACTTGTTAATTAAAATGGGCTCTGTGACTCCCACTGAGCCTTGATCCAATCACAACAGAGCTGGAAGGGACCTTGGAGGTCCTCTAGTCCAACCCCCTGCTCAAGCAGGAGACCCTATACCAGTGATGGTGAACCTTTTAGAGACCAAGTGCCCAAACTGCAACCCAAAACCCACTTATTTATGGCAAAGTGCCAACATGGCAATTTAACCTGAATAATGAGGTTTTACTACCTAAAATAATGATAAACAAGCCAGAGTTCAGCTAATTGTTCTAAGAAAAATGTGATAAATGTACTTTTATGCCCCTTCATTTTTCCCCCTGCTTTTGAAATATTACATTTAGCAATAATAAAAAAAACTTTTGTAATATCATTTCTCTCTTTCCCCCTTTTCTCTCTTTCTCTCCCTCTTTCTCTCCCTCCCTCCCTCCCTCTTTTTCTTTCTCTTTCCCTCCCACTCTCTCTCTGTTTCTTTCCCCCCCCTCTGTCTCTCTCTGTTTCTCTCTCTCTCTTTCCCTCCCTCTCTCCATCTCTCTCTCTTTTCCTCCCCCTCTCTCTCCCCCTCCCACCTGGGGAGTGGAAGAAACCCCTGAACTTAATAAAAATTAAACATTAAGGGTTACAATTAAATGTGTCAGGGGATTAGAGCAGAAATAACATCACCCAAGTTCAAGTATGCAGCACCAAATGTTTTAAAGCTCTATGCAGCAAAATTAAATGTTCACTCTCTGGGTCCCATTCTCCTAAACTTCTCCGGATTGAGTGTAATTCCTCAGGCATGAAATCTCACTTCTTCTCAACCCAAAGGAAATTCATAATTTCTCCTCCCTCATATTTGGGCAAAAGCCCTCATATTTGAGTTTGTAAATTTTTTTAAAATCCCCCAGCTAACTAGTAGATCACTTAAAATTCAGATTCAATTTGTAACTTTCTGCATTTCTTTAATTTCTTAGTGGCCTGTTTAAAGAAAAATCAGGTTTCCTCCACCAGCTCCACCAGGATAAAGTTTAACCACATTTCCTACATTTTGCCCTTTGTCACATTTGTATCTTTCAATCAGGATTCCGCCCAATAGCAGCGAGATGCACTTCGCCAAGGAATTCCCAGTAGTTGTATTTTTCAGATCCGTATATCTGCCATTACTTTGGGGGAGGGGGCCATGTGGGTTACATTGCTTGAAAGCTGGCGGAGGATGACTAAGAAAGTTCCCTTAGCATTTTCTCAGAGTGGCCAGTAGAGTAACATCTTCACACGTGCGGATTGGCTGAATCCACATCGGACTGTCGGGAGGTGTTTCTAATTCCTTTATTCTAACTATGGCCTGAGGGCCCCTCAGAGCCTGCTTTCTTTTCGCCCTGCTATCACCCCTGTTCAATAAAATGCTAAGTTTTGAGAGTCTTTACTTTCTTGAATAATGGGGAGAGGCTGGGCCTTACAGAAAGCAGGTTCTGCAAATGTGATCAACCCAGAGAGAAAAATTTTACTCTACCGAGGGGATCCTACAAACTATGTCTGAACACAGCAGCGAGCAAGGAGAGGCTGAATGCTGGGGGGAGACCTCCACAGCCACCCAGCCAGATGCCGGCCCCATATACCCCATTGAAGACATCCAAGCTGTCCTGGAAGGCCCCATGAAACCCAGGTGGTCAATTGGCGTGGGGAAGAAGGACAGCTAGGAAGGGAGAACCAAGGGAGTCACCCTCAACTGCGGTAGCCGAAAGCCAGGGTAGAAATGGAGTTGGAGGCCCTATCCGACCAGGAAGAGCTGATCGAAGAACCGCTGGGCAGTGACCGACTCAGCATGTCACCTGGCTCATGATGCAGGCTCTGGGGGACCTCAATGTCTGAAGGGAGCCGGATCATCAATGGAGGAGGGCAGATGCAGCACCAGCAGCTGATGAAGCCAGAGCCATCACTCTGGACCCCGCAGCAGCCGACCAAGCCTCCACTGCCGCCGGAACAGCAGCTGCGCTGGGAAACCCTCCTCTCATAGCACCAGCCCAGGTGAATGCCCCCGGCCAGCTCAGGGGACCTCAGTTGTAGAGGAACCCCACCCCCCCGGGAGTAAAGTATGAGGGAGCCCCCAGAAGTTGGGCTTTTTCTTAGCCCAAGTCCTCACATATATGCAGGAATACGGCCAAAACTTCCTAACCCAGGGGGCGCGAGTTCGAGTCGGCACCCTGGCCCTGGAGGGGGCAGCTGCCTGATGGATGATAACTATAATGCCGACGCCCTGGAGCTGCGAAACTTCAACCATTTTATGATAGCCCTGTGACAGCATTTTGGGGACCCACTAGCTAACCGCAAAGCCCGCAATCGCATCAGGGTCATGAAACAGGGTTGCCAATCAGTAGCAGAATACACAGAGGAATTCCGCGACTTAGCCTGCCATATTGACTGGCCAGAAGACATCCTAGTGAGCTGGTTTAAGTATCGGCTGAATGATGACCTGTACATCGCTTGCTTAGCCCGAGGAGCCCCTAACCACTTGCATGAATGGTACCTGATGGCAGAGGAAGCCGAGAGTGATATGACCCGAAACCAGTACCAAGCAGTTAGAGTGTGGACAAGGTCCCCACCCCAGGGGAAGAGGGAACCGTTCAAGCTGCAAACCGCCCTGGCACCGAGGCCATCGGGATGCTTCAAATGCAGAAAGGAGGGGTACTGCGCAGCAGAGTGCCGTTTGAAAACTCCTGCCTGTCTGGAGGAAAACCTGCGAAATCGACTCTCCAAGGAAAAGAAACTGCTTTGAGAAGCAGAGAGGCCGTGGCATTTCCATTTATATGCCATTTCTTTAGGGGAAGGGGGTGGGATTTCTAATTACTTTCTTTATTCATTACTCTCTTTCCTATGTATCCTGTATCCTGCAATTTATTGATTTATAACTTTTAGCCTGGGGCCTAAGCGCCCTGGGATTTTTGCACCTTTTGGGGAATGTAAGGGGAGGGAGGGCCATGTGGGTTACATCGCTTGAAAGCTGGCAGAGGATGACCCTGAGAAACTTCCCTTATCATTTTCTCAGAGCGGCCAGTACAATAACATTTTCACACCTGCGGATTGGCTGAATCCACATTGGATTGTTGGGAGTAGTTTCTAATTCCTTTATTCTAACTGTATGGCTTGAGGGCTCCTCAGAGCCTGCTTTCTTTTCACCCTGCTATCACCCCTGTTCAATAAAAGGTTCCTTTTGAAACGCTAAGTTTCGAGAGTCTTTACTTTCTTGAATAAGGGGGAGAGGACGGGCCTTACAGTATTACTCATTCTTTGCCTTTGTATTGTTACAGCATTCTTCCAACCATTCTTCCAATGCTGTAAAGGCAGCCTTCGTACATATGTACACATACACACACAAAACATAAGCTCCCAACCCCTTGATCAGCAGAGCAAATCCCTATATTAATATTTCTGTCGTTTCACCATCCAGGTCTGCAGCATTTCTTCATTTCAGTTTGCTAGCAACATTTTTTACTATTTCTTTCTATATACACACAACACCTCCTCATTGTAAGTGTCCCTCTTTCTCTCCCTCTCTCTCTCTCCCTCTCCCTCTCTCTCCCTCCCTCCCTCCTTCCCTCCCTCCCTCTTTCTCCCCTGGGGGCGGGGGGGAAGGAAATCCTGAATGGGTGGTGGGAATCTGACGTCTGGAGGCCAACAAGCCCAGGAGAAGTGCAACGAAGCTCTGTTGGCTGGGAGGGAGGCGGGGCATCCCATCACAGGCAGCTCTGCAGGAAAAAAACTGATACCCGGGAGGCCAGAACAAGCTGAGATGACGCCAGGGTCACATTGTGGCTCCACGCTAAATTTCACTTTGCTGTGCAAGGCACTGTGAGAGTAGGGGGCAGGCCATGGAGGCAGCAACAGCAAATGTACCACGACGAAGGTGGAATGCTGTTTCACACATTTTTTTTTAATCTCTCAAATTTTTGTTTCCCTGCAAATGACAGCGAGAAACATAACAGAAACACAATGGAGCTGGGCTGGGGCAATAGCGTGCGTGCTCACAGAGAGGGCTCTGCATGCCACCTCTGGCACATGTGCCATAGATTCGCCATCACAGCCCTATACCATTTCAGACAAGTGGCAATCCAGTCTTTTCTTAAAAACCTCCAGTGATGAAGGCCCTACAATTTCTGAATGCAAGCTGTTCCACTGGTTAATTGTCTTCATTGTTAGGAAGTTTCTTCTTAATTCCAGTTGTTCTCTCCTTGATTGGTTTCCTCCATTATTTCTTGTCTTGCCTTCTGGTGCTTTGGAAAATAAGTGGATCCCCTCTTCTTTGTGGCAGCCCCTCATATAATAGAATGCTACCTACTGTCATGCCCCAAAGTCTTAACATCTTTTTTGTAATGTGGTAACCAAAATTGGATGTAGTATTTCAGGTGTGGTCTTTCTAATCCACATTTTTCTTTATTTAGAATTGACAACTAAAAAAAAATCAGAAAATGGATTTTTACTGGTCTCCTAATAATTTGATCTACAATCCTCTGAAGTTGGTAAATAATTATACACATAATAATTGTCCAGGTTATTATTTATGTGGACAAGGTTACCTTGGCTTGAAAGAGTGTTACATTCTGTGGCATGATTCTGGAATGAGGAAATTCTAGTGTTGTAAGTCCTAACCATGCCAATTTCCAGGTAGGTGGACCATCTCCCAAAATTCTTAAAAATGATCAACCACCTTGTGGAATTGTGAGAGTTGAAGTCCCAACACCTAGAAATTTCTTTTTTAAAAAAAAAATATATATATTTATTAAATTTCCAAAGTTTAAAATACACAGTACAAAAAGAAACACAATACACACAAAAAAAGCAAGAAAAGAAACACACAAAAAACAAAAAATAAAAACAACAAAAAACAAACATCAGAATTTCAATACTAATAACAACTTTTCTGCAACGTTAACTCTAACCTATTTAACCTCTTTACACAAATTCTACTTCTAAATATCTCTATCTTAAACTTACATCTTTATCTAAATTATCTTGACTTCTATTTACAATTCAGTCTCGTAACAAAAACATCTCTTAAGTTTTATGTTTACTCTCCAACCAGGAATACCATTTATTCCATATTAAATAGTACTCAGTGTCCTCCCTCTCCTTCATTTCCATAGATAATGTGTCCATCTCTGCACATTCGTATATTTTTTTTATTATGATTTGATCTGGAGGGGTGTCTGATTGTTTCCAATTTTGTGCTATCACAATTCTACTTGCCATTAGTATGTGTAATATGATATATTGTATACTTTTCTGCATTTTCCCTTCCAGAATACCCAGGAGAAACAATTCCGGCTTTCTTTCTATCTTCTGCCCTGTTATTTCATCCAGCCATTTTTTAATCTTGCCCCAAAATTTCCTAATCTTAGGACAAGTCCATGTGGTAGAATGTTCCTTGCTTGTGTCCACACCTCGAACAATTCGGAGATCTATTCAAGTACATCCTGGCTAATCTCGCTGGAGGCAAATGCCATTGGTAGAACATTTTGTAAAGATTTTCTTTATAAGTAGCTGACATCGTTAGTTTGTAATTTCTCTCCCATAATCTATCCCATTGATCCAAATGAATATTATGTCCAAAAAATTTTGCCCAACTAATCATTGTTTCTTTCACAGTTTCCTCTTCCATTTAAATTTCAACAAAAAATTATACATTTTTGTGATCATTCCCCCGCCCTCCCCGGATCCTAATAATATCAAGTTCCAATTGCTCCCTGTATATGCCAAATTGTTCCTTATCTTTTTTATATTCTGTTTTGATCTGTAAGTATGGCCACCAATCAATCAGAATTTGGTACGTTAAGTTTTTAAAAGTATATATTCATAATATTTTGGCTTCTTCTCAAGTACTGATTGCTATTTATTGAAGGTAAAATAATTGCTATTTATTAAAGGTAAAATAATCAAAATCTTTTGCAGTATTAATAAAGCTCTTTACATTTTCAGATTTAAAAATGTTCTCTGGATCAAAAATTACAGAAGAATCCTTGTAGTGGAATTCAGAGAAACACCAATCTTAATATAATGGAATCTTGTTAAGAAAAGAAAATGTGGATGCATCAGCAAGAGAAACTGTTGTCTTATAATGGGATACTGCTTCTTTTCCAACTATCAAGAGGGAACAATTCACAGAGCGATGATAACACAATTACTACATTGCATGTGAAAAGAATGACATTTGACAATGGCACTAAATTTTTTAATGAGGTGTCCACTGGATCATTTTGCATATATGGTGAAGATATTGAAATTATTCACTGCAGCAATGCATCTGATTTCAGAACTGGAATTCTTCACCCTTGCATTCTTTTGAAAAAGAAGAAAAAGAAAAAAATTAAATATATGCTATTGTTGATTCATACCAATAATAAATTTGAACTGGTTCTGCAATTTAAATTAGACTATACAATCAAAGAACCTGTAAAATTATTGGCTGGTCCAACAATACTATGGTGTTATGAAGGACATCTGTTACATATTTCTCCCCAAACTGGCATTGTTTTATGTGCCCCTATTCAGTTTTCTTCTGTCCAATGGGCTGGTCAAATGAAAGGTGAGGGTACAGTTGTTTTAGGAACCAGAGCTGCTGGTTTTCCAGGAGACAATAAGCAAAGTAGTGCTAGGTCAGACCTGGCCATCTGGGGATATGAGTGTTTTGCATATGGAGTTGACAAACAAAAAGTACTATTGAATGCTAGTTTCTTGCCTCACGCTTATGGCAGTGTGGTGCGTTGTGTATATGTTTGCAAAACTGAAGTAAAAAGAAGCAAATATAAGACATCACTGATTGCAGTTACTTGCAAAGGCCAATTGATTTTTTTTCAAGATGGTTGGCCTAAACACCTCCTGCAGCTTCCATATGAAAATCCTTTTTCGGTACAAATAGCTGCAGTGGATGGAGATCGCAAATTGGTGATCGTGATGTTTGCTTCCGGAGATGTATGTGCTATATGGAAACATAACTTGCAGGTATTGAACTGATGTTCTAAAACAATTATTATTAGAATTGTGGAGATTCTGTCTCATTGTTTTTGTAAAATATTACATGTCTAGTTATTCCAGTCCAGATTAATGAAAGAAATGTGGATGCATGTTCTGTTACTTTGCTTAAGTGTTGAACATTCAATCAAACAAAATCTGTTCCCTGCAGTTATGATAAAGGACAGCCATTGTTTACATAGGAACTTAATGTGCATTATGGAGTTCTGACATATGAAGGTTTTCTTGGTCCTTGTAGACACAAACCTTATCTTTTAAAATGAGTGATACAGTTTTGACATAATTTAATTGATTCACTCCTTTTTAATTTTATATCTGTTCTGTGTCTTAATTAAATCCTTGCTCTTTATATCAAACCTGGTTGAACATATTTATTGGTAATGGGCTCTGTACAAGCTCACAGATAAAAAATTTGTTTTAGAGCTGCAAACTATCATTAAGTTATATAAGCACAAACATGTACATATATACAAGGGATAAGCCCAGGTTATTCCGGGCTTATATGAAATTCTAACCAATTTATTATTTATTTTGATTAGATTTAAAATATAAGTCATGGGAAGGATCATAGTTTTTAAAAGAACAAATTTATAAATTAAATACAATATTCACAGTTAGTGCATGGTAGATTGTATTCAATCTTGGATTTACAAATGTTCCGTGTAAATTGACATTATGACAGAAATATGAGTAAAATTATTCTTATGCAGTGCGATCTTGTAGTTGCTCTACCATGTATCTTAAGCTGCCTTTTCAGTAAGTACAACTAACATATTTTAATAAGTGCAAATAATGCCTATCGCTGCAAAATTTCAGATAAAATGCTGTCTTACATATTTTAATCATGCGCTGTATGTATATGACTAATTTTAAAAAATCATTACATTTCTGATTTATGTTATAGGTGGCTTTTTGCTGGAAGAATGTGAGATCTGTTCTGGTAGATGATTTTGCTGGTATTGGAACTGAACAAATCTTAGTTTTTTTAAAGAGTGACTCTATTTCAGAAACATTAAAGGCATTTCAAATAACAGATTTTGGAAATATTAATTATGAGGTAAGATATGCTACAAATAATTGAGAAATGTTTATTTTAAAAATTACGCTGATTATTGCTTTAATGTTTAATGTTTAATTTATTTAATTTAAATTTAGTTTAAAATTTAATTAATAATTTAATATTTAAGTTCATATTTCAGTACAGATTGTAGCATTGCATGCAGGATTTCAATGAACATTTTGATTCAAATTACTGACTTTGGTCATGTCATCCTACAAATCAAAACTTTGACTCAATTAGTTACAAAGCAGACAAAAGCCTTCCTACGTAAGGCTTAACATGGTTTATTATTCCAGTACAAAGTACTTATAAGCATTGGGCTTGTAGATTTCGGTCACCATCTCCAGTACAACTACAAGTAATTTAAAGCTTCCATTTATGTTTTATTTCAGGTTCTCATATTATTTCAGTAGCATAGTGAAATAAACCACATATAAACTACACTGGAATGGATCACACATGTTAAGTTAAAACTAACAAAATACATTATGGCACCTTATGGTACAGTATATAAACATAGCCTGTGTTTAATCTTAACTATGATTTATTGAATAGCATAAAGTCAATTCTGCAATTTATGCATGAGACTACCATGATTTATCTCATCTGATTCTAAAAATTAGGGTTTGAATGACATACTAAGCTTTGCTTTCTGTTTCTAAAGGACAAGGTTGGATTTATTGGATGTAGATATATAGATGGTAATACATAAATCCCAAGATGCATTGTGTTTATCAGTAGTTTTGTGTGATTTAGCATTCTGATCAAACTTGGCCACTGTGTATGCCTCATTTTCAAGCTTTTAAATTACTATACAGTCTTAGTGGTGTGATTAGCATCTTTAGAATATTTTTTAAAATTGTGATACCCTCACCCCCCCTCGCCGCCCCCGCAATCTAATCTATGTTACATCAAAAATCAGACTGCAACTACATGCAGCATATTTTAAACAGTTCAGAAATATATATAAGCTATATCTGGTGTGGGATATATTTTTTTGTCTCCTCCTCTAATATACAGGGTTGCATACAAAGCAGTGTCAGTCTCTTCTGCTGCCTGACCAGAAGGGGTGTGATTAGTTTCAGTTTTCCTGTGGAAAGATCTTAAATTTATGTTTGGATTCTTGTGATATTCTCCACTTTACAGAGTATTCTGTATAAATCTTTGGTGTTTAATTAGTATGTGCACTGCTTTTTCTTAGAGTAATATAAACTATGAAAATGACTGTTCTGCTGAAGAGATACAAGAAAATCGCCTTCTTACTATCAAAGCCCTTGAAGCACGATTACAGGTTGGTGTATAGCATCTTTTTCTTGGATATACATTTTGTTTTATTTAATGAAACTTGTATTTTGACATGTTTTCAGTCCATCTACTATGTAGGTATTACAGCAGAACATTAGCAACTATTCACAATGATAAGCATGGCAAAATATATATTATTTTACTTGAATTTAGAAATACATTTCTGGAAGTCTAGAAGTCAAATTTCTAACCTAAGTAATTTTTAAACCATATGAATAAAAATAAATCTTTAGCATCTTTCAGGAAGAAAATACCATGATGCTTACAAGAGTATCATCACAAAGCCTCTGTTCTTTTATATAGGCTGGTTTTGCATCTGTTCGAGCCATTCAACAACATTTACGCCTCAAAGAAAAAGTTTTGATGGAAAGCTGTCATGCATTATTAGATCTTGTTCAAGATTGGAAACAAAGAATTCCTAGGATCAAAAAGGTATTTTGCAGCAATGTTAAAAGTGGAATGTAATTTTTTCCCTATTATATAGGTATAGAACTTCCATTTCTAGTAACAGAAACAAAAATAATAATGGGTCTGGTTAAACAAGTAATGTAATTATTTTTTAACAGAATGCCGGTTGAAAAATTGTTGCTGTCGTGTTTAGAGATCACTGAAATATTCAGCTTGCCAATAACACATATTTTTATAATATTCAGGATAATGGTAACTTTTCAATAGTTTATATGGAAGCATATCACCTGGGCACTTGCATAGTGCAGTTTACTCAATTTGAAATTGAGGGGAAAAATCAGAATGGGTATAAATACTTGATAAGGATGATTTAAAATCGCATATATCTACTGTAAAAGTATACCATACTGTGGTAATACAACAACAAATTTTCATTATACAAAAAGTTATTGGACTTTATATTTAAAAAAATATTAATCTTTCCATCTAAGGAAAATCTTGTTTCTCTTTGGGATGAAACAGAGGAAGAATTTCATAATGGTGTATTGACTCCAACTGAAGATGAAGAACAAATTGTAAAGAAGGTTTGGTATCGTGTGGTGGATGACCAGTTAATAGTTGGAGTAGAAGTCATGGAAACATTCAACTTGTGAGTAGTTTAAATTCTATACAATCATGTTGAATCATTGGCAACATTTATATGGTTGAAGCTTGAATTCCAAAATAAAAGAAATCCAGATATACAGATATTTAAAAGAATTCCAAGACAAAATATTATGATACATCTTATGAATAAATATTGAAGATATATTTAATTACATTGTATTTAATATAAAGTTGACACAAAGCAGTTGTGAATTATAAATATCAAATACAGGTAGTCTTCTACTTACGACCATAGTTGAGTCCAAAATTTCTGTAACTAAGCAAGACAATTGTTGAGTTACATGCCAGTTGCCAAGTGTCCAAATTTTGAACATGTGATATTGGGGATGCTGCAACAATCGTAAACTCTGAAAAACAATCATAAGTCACTTTCCAGTTCCACTTGAACTTTGAAAGTCACTAAATAAATGGTTGTAAGTTGAGAACTATCTGTACACAAGAGCATAGTACACTACAAATGCTGAAGCTATAAATATATTTGTTTACATTGTGTTCTTTTGTTTTGAAGCAGGCAACTCAGTGATGCCAGTTTATCTCTGATAATTGGCCAGAAGTGCCATTTACTTTCTCCATCAAAATGCCACTGTAGAGTAGTTACAGTGACGAAAGCTTCAGAAGCTGAGCCTCTATCATGTTGGCACTTGGAACCATTGCCTAAAAAAATCAAGTTAAGTTGCCTTAATGAAGAAAGCAAGTGCAATGGAAAAGACTCAGAAGTGAAGAGGAATAAGGCAAAAGCCATTACAGCAGTTACCCAACTGTCCCCTTTCTTGGCATGGCATGAAATAACTTGCATGGTACTGCTTCATGCAAAGAAGAGCAGTAACAGTGAAAACTGGCAGAAAAGCAAAAGATTGACTTTGCTATGTGGAGATTTTTTACTAAGTCTGGTAGAGATTTCTACTGGAAAGCTTTCAATAAATTTGAAAGAGTATCCAGGTAAATATATATTTACAATAAGAAATCTATACAATAAAGAATGAAACTTTTTTTCAACTTAAGATTTCCATTAGTGTTTTTATACTGTATACAGTATTGTCTGTATGTTATAATTGTGATCAAATTCAATATTTTTGTTTCAAAAGAACCTTTAAAAATATTTAGAATAACATTTTCTATAATATAAATAAGACAACACTTTTCTATTTTTTATTTATTTATTTATTTTATTTTAATTTATATGCCCCCTTCTCCGGACACTCAGTGCAGCTTACAAGGCGTTAAGCAGTAGCCTTCATACTTTTGTATATTTTATACAAAGTCAGCTTATTGCCCCCACAAACCGGGTCCTCATTTTACCTACCTTAGAAAGGATGGAAGGTTGAGCCTGGTGAGAATTGAACTCACAGTAATTGCAGGCAGCTGGAAGCTAAATACTACCTTTAACAGTAGCATTATTTATTTATTTATTTATTTTTCATATTTGTATACCGCCCTACTCCCGAAGGACTCAGGGCGGTGAATAAATACAAATACATATAGAAGTTAAAAACTATTAAGAAACAGATTAAGTAATTTAGGCTCAAAGATTAAAAACATCCAAATTTATCTAAAGAGGTTTAAAACCCAATTTAAAAGCCAGTTTAAAAGCCAATTAAAAAGGGAGAGTTAGGCCAGATCAGCTTGTTGGAATAGAAATGTTTTCAGGGCACGGAGGAATATGCGTAAGTCTTGGATGTTTCGTAACTCCGGAGGAAGCCCGTTCCAGATGGTAGGTGCCCCCACAGAAAAGGCTCTCCCCCTGGGGGCCGTCAGTCGACATTGTTTGGCCGACGGCACCCTGAGGAGTCCCTCTCTATGGGAGCGAACTGGTCGGTGAGAGGCTATTGGTGGCAGGAGGCGGTCTCGTAAATACCCTGGTCCTGAGCCATGGAGCGCTCTAAAGATAGTAACCAAAACCTTGAAGCGCACCCGGAAGACCACTGGGAGCCAGTGCAGCTCGCGCAGGAGGGGGGTTACATGAGAGCGCCACATTGCTCCCATCACCACCCGCGCGGCCGCATTCTGGACCAGTTGGAGCCTTCGGGTGCTTCTCAAGGGGAGCCCCATGTAGAGAGCTTTACAATAATCCAGGCGTGAGGTGACAAGGGCGTGAGTGACCGTGCGTAACGAGTCCCGATCCAGAAACGGATGCAACTGGCGAATCAGGCGAACCTGATAAAAAGTCCTCCTGGCTACGGCCGTCATATGCTCTTCAAAAGACAGCCGTGAGTCCAGGAGGATGCCCAAGTTGCGAACCCCATCTGTGGGGGCCAACGACTCGCCCCCAATAGTCAGAGATGGCGCCAACTGACTATATCGGGACGACGGAAACCACAGCCACTCGGTCTTGGATGGGTTTTTTTTTTATTATTTTTTTATTATTTAAATTTCTATACCGCCCTTCTCCAAAATAGGACTCAGGGCGGTGAACAGCCAGAATAAAAAACAATACATACAAAATTTAAAACAATTTAAAATAATTAAATATTTTTGGCCGTAAATTAAAATAACCCAATTTAAAATCAATTTAAAATTAACTCAAGCCAGCCCCGGGTTGAGTCTGAGTTTGTTCCTCCCCATCCCCATTAGTCTGCATTAGTCTGCTGCGCCACTCAGGCTCTTTTTGATCCCTGTCCTAAGACCATGTCTCAACCCTTCTTCACTCTCCCTTTATAGATAGCCCTTGACTTACGACCACAGTTGAGCCCAAAAATTTTTGTTGCTAAGTGGGACAGTTAAGTGAGTTTTGCTCCATTTTACAATCTTTCTTGCCACAAAATCATTGTGGTTGTTAGTAATTTTTTTGTTAAATGAATCTGGCTTCCCCATTGACTTTGCTTGTCAGAAGATGGCAAAAGATGACCTTGGGAAACTGCAACTATCATAAATATGAGTGAGTTGCCAAGCATCTGAATTTTGATTATGTGACCATGGGGATGCTGCAATGGTCATAAGTGTGAAAAATAGTCCTAAATCACTTTTTTCAGTGTTGTTGTATCTTTGAATGGTCACTAAAGAAATTGTTGTAAGTTGAAACTACTTGAACCCAGTTTTTATAGGCTTTTGGAAGAAAGTTTAGAATTTCCTCATTTATTTCAAATTAATTTCATAATTCTAAGCAACCCCCAGATGTTCTTTGTTAATTCTAGGAATTATATGGAAGATGTATACAAGCAATATTATATATGGGTCTATCAGAACATATGTTTCATTAAATAATTTCTTCAGTTGTGACCCCAACATTCTGAGCATCAAAAATATGACACTTTCCTAAACAAAAAAAAATGCAATAGCGTGCACTTGCTATTTTAGTAAATACTTTCATTGTACTACAGTTGCAAGAAAAAGTATGTGAACCCCTTGAGATTACATGAAGTTTTGCATGAATTGGTCATAAAATGTGCTCTGAACTTCATCTAAGTCACAACAATAGAAAAATACAGTCTGCTTAAAATAATACTACAGAAACATTAGATGTTGCCATGGTTTAATTGAACATAACATGTAAACATTCACAGTGCAGGGAGGAAAAAGTATGTGAGCCCCTAGTCTAATGACTTCTCCAAGAGCTAATTGGAGCCAGGAGTGAGCCAACCTTGACTCCAATCAGTGTGATGATATTGGATGTGTTGCTGACAGCTGCCCTGCCCTTTAAAAACACACACCTGTTTTGGGTTTACTGGTTTCAAGAAGCATTGTCTGATGTGAACCATGCCTCGCAGAAAAGAGCTCTCAGAAGACCTACGATCAAGAATTGTTGACTTGCATGAAGCTGGAAAGGGTTACAAAAGTATCTCCAAAAGCCTTGATGTTCATGTGTCCACGGTAAGACAGAATGTCTACAAATGGAGAAAGTTTAGCACTGTTTCTACTCTTCCTAGGCGTGGTCGTCCTGTAAAAATGACTGCAAGAGCACAGCGCAGAATGTTTCATGAGGTAAAGAAGAATCCTAGAGTGTCAGCTAAAGACCTACAGAAATCTCTGGCACATGCTAACATTTTTGTTGACACATCTACAATAAGGAAAACATTAAAAAAGAATGGAGTACATGGGAGGACACCATGGAGGAAGCCATTGCTGTCCCCAAAAAAAATTGCAGCACGTTTGAAGTTTGCAAAAGACCACCTGGATGTTCCACAGCACTACTGGCAAAATATACTGTGGACAGATGAAACCAACATTGAGTTGTTTGGGAAGAACACACAACACTATGTGTGGAGAAAAAAAGGCACAGCACTCCAACATCAAAACCTCATCCCCACTGTAAAACATGGCGGAGGGAGCATCATGGTTTGGGGCTGCTTTGCTGCCTCAGGGCCTGGACGGATTGTTGTCATTGATGGGGAAATGAATTCCAGAGTTTATCAAGACATTTTGCAGGAAAACGTTCGACCATCTGTCCGCCAACTGAAGCTCCGCAGAGGATGGGTGATGCAACAGGACAATGACCCAAAGCATACAAGTAATTCAACAAAAAAATGGCTTCAACAGCACAGAATACGCCTTCTGGAGTGGCCCAGTCAGAGTCCTGACCTCAACCCAATTGAAATGCTGTGGCATGACCTTAAGAGAGCGATTCACACCAGACGTCCCAAGAATGTTGCTACACTGAAACAGTTTTGTGAAGAGGAGTGGTCCAAAATTACTCCAGATCGTTGTGCAGGTCTGATCTGCAACTACAGGAAACGTTTGGTTGAGGTTATTGCTGCCAGAGGAGGGTCAACCAGTTATTAAGTCCACAGGTTCACATACTTTTTCCTCCCTGCACTGTGAATGTTTACATGTTATGTTCAATTAAACTATGGCAACATCTAATGTTTGTGTAGTATTATTTTAAGCAGACTGTATTTTTCTATTATTGTGATTTAGATGAAGTTCAGAGCACATTTTATGACCAATTCATGCAAAACTCCACGTAATCCCAAGGGGTTCACATACTTTTTCTTGCAATTGTATATAAGAGTGCATTTTTGTATGCCACTTAAAGTTTGTCATGTCTGAAATGGTATCTAAACATAATAAAAATACATTTTAGAAACAAAATTAAGTAGATATCGGTTTTAAACATATTGCACTGCTTAGCTTCATTGAAAAAAAATTGTGTTACAGGTTCTACAGAAGATCTTTTGGCACTCTGTTCAATAACACACAAATCCTCTTTCCAAATAATCTCCTCTGACTGCACATTGTTTCCAGTAAACAAGCATCTATTGGAACAAATGGAGTGTGCACCAATTGAAAAATATCCGGATTATATGGTCTGCTGGAAATCTGGAAATCTGAATGGCACTCTTTTCAAGTGGAATCTAAAAACACCTTTTGAAGGATTTTTAACAGTATTCTGCAGGTAGCAACCATTGAAAGGCTGAAAAAGACTATTTTAGCTTCTTTTTGAGTATTAACAATTGTCCTGAATTATTTTGTAGAGGTAGTAATTGTATATGTTGCTGACAGAGGATCCCTAAATGACCATTTTTTTAATCATTGTACCACTAGTATCTGCTAGATACTGCTAGATACATCGGCAAGTGTTTCATTTGTTTATTAAAGAAATTTAAATAGTTTACATAAAATGCCATTAAAAAAACTTAACTACTGGATTAAGGCAGTATCTGATACACTTTAGAGGAATTTGAAAAAAGTACTTTATTTTTTCTCAGAATTAACATTAATAATCAACCTTTTTTTTTTTTAATTATATAATGTGTTGGAAGAGAAACAATATTTTCAGTATCATAATGCTGCTAAGTAAATGTCAAATGAATCTTAAGAGAACAAGTCATGAGAACATGGTACATAATGCTGCCTCTGGATTTTGCAAGTTTTTGAATGTTTAAGACAGGTGTTTTCAACATTGTTTTTATGCTTGGCATTTATTCGAAAGATTTTTTTTCCAGGCAAAGTAGAGTCATGTTTCTTTGTCATGAGAATTTTGTTTTCCATATAAATCTTTCCATTGAATACATGGTGACAACTGTCTTGTTCATCTATTTCACAGACATCAACTTGCCTTATTCCAGTGCCTTCATGCCTTCATTGGATTGCTACCACCAACTTGCAAGATAAAATTACTGAAGTTAGGAAATAAGAATCTACTTGCTGAACAGCTTGGACTGACTTTAATAAAAGAAACAGAATTTTTCCAACATGTTTTATCGTCAGCTCTGAGACAAATTGAAAATAACTTTTCTCTGAAAAATGAAGGAAGCAAAGAAAATAATACCACTTCCACAGTTGAACATTTCAAAGAAGCATTTATAAAAGAACAAAAGCAAAGTATGCTGAGTATGAATAGAACATTGAGTGGTTCCTTATTCAGAAAGCATATTTTGAATGTGTTTGATTTGCAGATGAATTCTGATATGATGTCATGGTTATGCTCTTCAATCTGACTTTACTTTGCAGTATTTATTAACTAGAAATATAATTCGTTTATAATATAATATATTTAAGTCTACATTTAATTAGTCTGTAAGATTAAAAAAAAACAAACCTGCTTGTGTTTTAATTCTATTTCTAGGAAGTTTCTATTACAAGAAAATTATTGTGCAAAAATTTCAAGGGCTATGGGCAATTATTACTTGGCTAAGCAGACATACATTTACCAATATATATGCATTTCTCACAATTCTGTATTCACATATTGCTTTATTCTAGAACAGCACTTAGGAGTCTACGGGGAGGAGGAGGATAGTATGAAATACTTGATTTGATACCATTTACAGATAAAGGATGGTATAGTGATATACCCTGATATTTGCTGTAATCAACATTGAGTTTTCTAAGATGTGTTATCTAGGAAAAAATCCTGCAGCAGATAGCTGTATTAGAATACAGCTAGGTACCTTGTTGCAGTGAGATACTAAGAGCAGCTATCAATTGTTCACTTATTTTTGTATAGATAACATTTGTCACAACAGGAATGATGCATGAGTGCTTTAGATTCAGCATTCAGGATATTTTTTTCCAGTTAATATTCAATATGGAGTTTTTATCTATGGAATGTTGTGGGTGGCCACTGATAATTATATTAAGGATATTCTTGAATGCAGTTGAACAAATCTGAGAACCTGCAGAGTTCTGCGTGAGAACCTGCTGCATGAGTAAATTAAATTATCCCATGAGTATGTTCCGTATGTATCTGTTGTATTCACTACAAATATAACAAATATTTTATCATCATGTTCTGTTTAAGATATTATGTTTAATGTCAGCATACAACGTATATTTAGGTTCATACTGTACATACTAACAGCAATCAGCATTCACAATTGATCCTATACTAGTTTACCTATAGCTGTAGTCATCTTAAAAATCTTTGGCTATCTACAGTTTAGTAATAAAATATGGTATGGAAATTGGCAGTGTGCTTCTTATAATCCTGTGCATAGAATAATAAGGCATGTTGTTCTGGCAATTATAGAACTTGATAATTACAACTTTCACTTTTTCTTGATCACTCTTAGATTGCTGTGGGCAAAATGCTAGTCAGACCTTGCTTCAGATAATTACAATTTGTTAAAATACATTCAAAACATATTTGGCACTACGAAAGAAATAAAATGCAAATGTATGGTCTATAGCAGGAGTGTCAAACTCATGTTGCCACAGCAGCATCACATAACGTATCGGGACTTTTTCCCCCTTCGCTAAACCAGATGTGGGCGTGGCCAGTGCTTGATGCATCCATCCCATGGGCCGGGAGTTTGACAGCCCTGGTTTATACTTTAAAGCATATTTATCAGACCCTTGATTTTAAAATTCTTTTTCAAAAGAATAAGTGGATTGAAAAAAGCAAGTGATCGCTGTGATGAGGGGAAACCATCATTTCAAAAGCAGCTAGCTGCAGGTTCCAGAATGTCTTTGGGAAAATTAACTGGAAATATTAAACTTTCCAACTGTTCCTATAGTTTCCTTACTTTTTTGCTGTCTTCTGTTTCATGGCCAAAGAATATCTTTCTACCTCTATCAATACTTAAGCATTGGTCTCTGATTTTAAAAATCCGTTGGCAACTGATAAGCAAATTTCACATTCAGAAAATAATTTCGGACTTCTGGTGGCTCCGCGGACATCAAGGACGGTCTCCATTGACCGCCAGCCACCCGATCTGTTAAAACCGCCCTGACAGCGCTAAACTGCTGTCCGGCGGTTTGAAAAAACTCTCCTTCGGGCAAAGAAGGAGAGGAGAGTTGGAGGGGGTGGGTAGAGCTCCCCGAAAGTCCCTGGATTAATTCCAGGGACTCGGAGGGTGAGAGCTCCCCAGTTCAGCCCTCCCATTGCTTCAGATCGCTGGTGCCTCTGCTAGCCAGAGCCAGACGTCGCGTCCAATTCTGCTGGCAAACGGTGAGTTTTAATGATTTCTAACAAGGCAGACAGAGCGGAAGCAAGAGTGCAAGCCTTTTAAAAGAAACAGAGCTTAACTCCGTGAATACATTGTTGCAAACGGAACTTTCCTGAGCTGGAGGCTGGAGAGGAAGCCTTTCTTATGGGCAGAAGGGAAAGTGAAAGTTAAAGGGAAATTGCTTGTTAAGAGTCTTCTGCTTGAAGAGAAAATTGCTGGGGACTGAGAACAGACCGGAGAGAGGATTGTTTATTCTGAAAAACTCTGAAATAAACATTGTAAGACTGTTTATAAGACTTTGTGGCTGTAAAAGGAAAAAACTCATTTTAAAATAAAATGGCTGCTAAACAACCAAAGCCACCAACTTCTAAAGGGGGAGGAGGTTCCCCTGTAGTGACTCAAAAGCAACAACTTCCAGCTGATACACAGTCACAAGACCTTAAAGAATTTATAATGGGTGCCCTGAACAATCAGGCAGAAATGATGAAAGAATTTTCGGAGGAGTTAAAGAAAATTAAAGATGTGGTGGAGGAAAAACATGATGCAATAAGAGATGACATTGTCTTTGCAGTTTCAGGACTGGCTAACCATATGTTAAAGATTGAGGAGAGAGTACGGGAAGTTGATGAAGCTAATTTGGAGCTAGCAACTAAATTAGGAGAGGTTATGATACAAACAGAGAAAGTGGATGATGAAATGGTCATGCTACAATACAGATCAATGGAATTTGCCCTGAGACTGAGAGGTTTGAAAGAAAAGAGTGGTGAAAACTTAAAAGATATTTGTTCCAATGCTTTAGCAGAGCTGATTTCAGAAAGGCCAGAGGATGTGGCAATTCAAATGGACAAAATCTATAGGGTTAATTCCTGGCTGGCAAAACAAAATCAGCTACCAAGAGATGTGGTGATCTATTTCACAACAAGGAGAATTAGAAATGATATTCTGCAAGCTTCTTACAGAAACAAGATTCAAGTGGATGGACAAGAGCTGGTGGCCTTGAAGGAGCTTCCTCCTAAAATGTTAAGAGATAGAAAGCAGTTTGGTTTTTTGGTGAATGAATTAAGAAACCAACAGCTCCAGTACAGATGGGATGTCCCATTTGGGATAATAGTGACATACGCTGGGCAAAGACATCGCTTAAACACAGTTGGAAAGGCAAAAGATTTTTACGCCAATGTCTTAAAGGCTGGACGGCCACCCTCACCAGGGGGTGCTAGAAAGCAATAGGAAATGATACAACAGGAGAAAGATGGAGGGCAACCACAAACCTATGCTCAAGCTTTAGCTGGAGGAGCTAATTTGGAAGAAGACTTATTGCTGAGTGGGGGTCCACCACCAACCCTTGAGCCATTAAAGATGATAGAATTGCCAAAAGATCAACGATTGACAAGAGCCACTTATAAACAGCATCTGGCACGACAGCCTCAAGATTCAACCCAACAAGTCCAAAAAACACAAGCAGTGGGAGGAACTAGGCCGAAGTCCAAAATGGCGGAGGAGGTTCAGCTGATGCTCTCAAAGCTTGGAGGGCCCAGAGATGGCAAATAAATTTTTATCTTGGAATGTCAATGGTTTAAATTCTCCACAAAAAAGAAAGAAAATATTTTACTACTTGAAGCAATTTCAGAATGATGTTATTTGTTTGCAAGAAACGCATATCAAATCCTCAGATCAAAAGTACCTGATAAATTCGAAATTAGGTACACATTTTGTGGCATCAGCACCAGAGAAGAAAAATGGCCTAGTTATATATGTTAAAAGAGGCTTATTGGCCAATTTAATTGAGGCTGACACTCAAGGTAGATATATTGCAATTGAATTAACAACACAGAACGGGAAGCTGCTTGTAATTGGAGTATATGCACCTAATCAACAGCAAGACAAATTTTATAAATTTTTACATACTAAAATATTACAATGGGATTACAGATCTTTATTTTTAATGGGTGATTGGAATGGGGTAATAAATACCCAGAAAGATAAAAAAAGTCTTTCCAAAATATCCATGCGTGCTAAGCTGCCTAAATCTTTTTTTGATATTTTGGAGGATATGGAGCTGAGAGACATTTGGAGAGAAAGGAACGTATTGGAAAGTGATTTTACTTTTTTTTCAGATAGGCATCAATCTTTTTCTAGGATTGATTTTATATTAACCACAAATGATCTTTTTTCTAGGGTGAAGAAGACGAAGATATGTCCAAGAACTTTAACTGATCATAGCCCGGTTTGGGTGGAACTAGAACAGGAAAGAGGGGAAAGGAGGTCTTGGAGGTTAAATGAGAATTTATTTAGATATGAAGATAACTTAAATGAACTTAAAAAACAAATGAAAGAATTTTTTGTTAACAATATGAATAAAGGTACCTCGATGGAAATGGTATGGGATGCGAGTAAGGCATATATGAGGGGAACATTAATTTTTCTGAACAATAAATATAGATTAAAACAACAAAACAGATGGAAAGAGATAGAGGAGGAAATTAAAAAGAAAGAACAATTGCTTATAACTAATCCGGGAGACAAAAAGGCAAAAGATATGATAAATATCTTAAGAGAGCAATTTAATATGTTAATGGCTGGGCAAGTAGCAACCAGCATACAATATGCCAGACATAATACATTCTGTAATGCCAATAAACCTGGGAGATGGTTGGCTTACACGATGAGAAAAAAACAAAAATCACGTGTTATAGACAAGATAGAATTTAGAGGTAAGGAGATTTACCAACAGAATTTAATAAAAAAGGCTTTTTTGGAGTTCTATACAAAGCTATATGCTAAAGATGCAATTCAAGATGTTGATATTGATAGATATTTAAAGATAGATATTCCTGAACTAACGCTGGAACAGAGAGAGAGATTGAATCAGCCAATAACTTCCGAGGAAATTGTTGGGGTAATTAAACAAAAATAGGTAAGGCTCTGGGAACAGATGGACTAACAGCGGTTTATTATAAACATTTAAAATCTGAAATGCTAGAACCACTCAAAATCTTATTTAATAAAGTACAGGTAGGAGGAGGAGTACCACCTTCCTGGAAAACAGCTTTTGTCTCACTAATTCCAAAGGAGGATCAAAATTCCATCAAACCTGAGAATTTTAGGCCAATTTCACTTTTGAATACTGATTACAAGATTTTTGCTAAGATACTAGCTAATAGATTAATGCCAGTTATGCAACAAATAATTCATAATGACCAATCAGGGTTTATAAAAGGGAGACAAATGAAATATAATGTTAGACAAATTGTAAACTTACTGGAATATTTGGAAAAAAATAACCAAGTCCCTGCAGCGTTTATATTTTTGGATGCAGAGAAGGTATTTGATCGCTTGAACTGGCAATTTTTGTTTGAAATAATAGAGAAAATGCATTTTGGGGAATATTTTACACAATCAATTAGAGCGATATACCAGCAGCAAACAGCACAAATTATAGTTAATGGAGGTTTAACAGAGGTTTTTAGAATTGAGAAAGGAACAAGGCAGGGGTGTCCTCTGTCCCCATTGTTGTTTATCTTGACTTTGGAAGTGCTATTGAATAAGATACGTGACTCAGAAAAATTGAAGGGTATTGTAATTAGACATCAAGATTATAGATTAAGAGCATTTGCAGATGATTTGGTTGTTACCTTATCCCAACCTATAGAGTCGGCTCCATATATATTGGATATAATTGATCAATACGGGAAAGTATCAGGATTTAAAGTTAATTCACATAAGACAAAGATGATAATTAAAAATTTGTCTGTATTTGAAAGAGATGAATTAGCAAGAATAACAGATTTTGAAATAGCTAAAAAGGTTAAATATCTAGGAGTGTATATAGCAGCTTCAAATACAAAATTATACAAAAATAACTATGAGGATCTCTGGCAGAAGGTACAGAAGGATATGGAGAATTGGAAAAAATTACAGTTGTCTTTATTGGGAAGAATTGCAGCAATTAAAATGAATGTGTTACCTAGATTCTTATTTTTGTTCCAAATGATACCTGTGCTTAAGAAAGATGAAAA